CAGCTAACCCACGGTTCGGTCTGGCGTCGGCTCGGTCACGGCTGTAGCTGTGGCTACATCCCAAATAGGTAACTGTAAGTGTACAGACTGAAAAATCTACTCGACAACACGACATAAGCTCATGAGCAGTGCATGCACATCCTCAGAGTTCTCCATTTGAGCTGATGAGATGTCACAAAGCTCCCTGAGTTCCTCTTCTCGTGTCAAACCATGTGTGAATGTCAAATCAATCCCCTTCCGAGCTGAAAACTTGAGCACCTGGAGGGCTTCCATTAGCTGCGGCTTGATACGGTTACGCCGTGCTGCCTTTGTTTCCTTTGCAGAGGAAAAGATACGCTCGCATGGAACTGCTGAAGCTTGAATAGGTAGGATGTCCATTGCAAGAGCGAAAATTGTTGGAAACCGATGACGATTTTCCTGGCATGATGATTAGCATCAGCCGACAGAGTTACTAATAAAACTTCAATTTCAACATTACCTGCCAGTATTGCAGAGTGTTCGAGGAAAAGCTTTCATCCAGAAAGTATGACTGAACTTCGGCTTCCAGACTTTGTTGCTGTGGTCTGCGCAATCGCATACGATTTCCCAGGCCAAGTACGTCATGCGCCCAGGGATGTTTCGGTGAAGCATCACTGGTAGTCACTTGTGCAGTGATAGGTGATGCTGAGTAATATGAGGATAGCTACGCAAGAGCAAAATGAGAACTCTGTAGTAAAACAAGTACTATAAGACCATACCTCTCTTACGAACAGTTTACGTGCCCAATCAACCTTGTCAGGTGCATTCTCAGCAAACCAATCAAGTTTGATCAGTGGATTTAGAACTAAAGAGATTCGAGATTGTCAATCATTCACATTAATTGATGAGGTAGCAGTACACACTCATGGCGAAAACATAAGCTGGGACAAGTTCAGTGCGATTTCGGTAGGTCTCCAGCTTCGCAAGACCCTCGTTGATAATCGATGATCTTTCTGCATGCGCATGCTGTTGTCTTCTCCAGGCAGCAGCCATCGCTTCAAACGCGGGGATGGCATTGCCTAATGTCGGCGTCTTCTCCTCAGATAAGATTTGCTGGAATGCATGCGGAACCTACCATGTAAAAGATAAGTATGCTGCAAGCGTAGAAGCAATTAGAATGTCATATTCACACAGAGAATCTCTTCGAACACTTCTAAAGCTTCCCACTCTACATCGCTCAACCGAAACTTCCACAGCTCGTGAAAATCATTGTGATCCAAGAATCTAGTAATTGACTGTGCATTACATCAGCACCGTTACAACAGTCAAAATACACGTTGTTCACGTACTTCACGCATCAACCTCGCACGCTCTATCATGAGCAGCGTTGACGACCATCGCGTTGTGACATCACGGAGCAGCTCAAGTTCCTTCTGTCCCAAAGACCTGGTCACGCTTTTGAGATGCTCACGTCGCATGTTTGATGCCCTCAACTGTGAATGAATTGATAAGTGTGAGGTACAAAGGTTTCATATTGGCGATAGAAGCACATACAGCTCGAATAAGAGACCGCAAGGTCGCAATCGGATCACGTCCGATAGCATCAAGTAGGGTCTGCGGTAAAGGTCCATGTGGAACGTGATCATCTGCATCCGTTGTAGCAAAATTGATGTTGGTGATTGCGTCCAAAACTGCCTGACATGCCAGATTCACGATGTGTGGAAAGCAGCTATGAATCTGCTAAGATTATTATATCCTTGTGAATTATATATCTGCTTACCGAATGCGACGTTTAATAGCATCAAAGGCAATCTGCCGCCGAGTGAGCTCTTGTTCTAACGCTGCGATAAAAGTGTCATTATTCGATGCATTGTCCATAGTGATCCACCCAATCTGTACATAGATCTGTTCAAACTCGATATGATTATCAAGCATCAGACGCACCTTGTACGTAATCTTCAAACGATCGAGGAGAAAAAGAAATGCCTGTGAAAGGTGCTGGCCTGTATGCCGTCCAGGAACACAATGGAAACCTATGAGATCAGCACGTAGCTTCAGAACGTGCTTCGGACCGGCAGACGTTTCTACCATTAGAGCTTGTATCCAATGCGCTGTGACTGCCATGAAAGGTGCGAGATCTGGATCTGACCACAGATCTGTCGTGAAGGAAATCTTGCCAAGTGATTCCTTTACGAAGATTAGCAAGCAGTGGCAACTCTGAGTTAACAATAAGAGTACGTACCTTCATTTCTTGCCGGAGCAACTCGAGATGCTCCTCAAACATCTCTTCTATTCATTTTCGCACTGTTGTACGATGCGGAATGTCACTTTCGGTAAGCTCTTCTCGGAGCATCAAGATAATCTTCCGCAGTTGAGGCGACTCAATGATGTTGATGGCCTGTGAAATATGCATGTCAGATATGCATAACGAAGCACGCATTCCAATGCTTACGAGATCATTGGCCACTATGAACTCAATAAATGTGTCAATGAGAGCCTGCGGTGAGAATGGGATGCATTGTGCGAGTTTGTCCATTTCATGTATGGCAGCTTGACCTCGAGATTGACGGAATGCTTGAACGGCAACATGAACATTCTTTCCCTTGATTTTAATACCCAGGCGGTCACATGCATCAACCCACTGCTCAAGATGGCACTTGTAGAGATGTCGACGAAGTGTTCCTGTACCTGTAAGCTCTCCAAATGTTGCCATCTGATGTTTGAGGTCAATCGCATGCAGGTTTCTATGAGAATTGTTAGTTCACATTGCAAACTACCAAGTATCGCAGGATCTAACATACTGGCACATTATACAACAGCGTCCGCCACCCTGAATTGCGGGTTTCCTCTCGAAAAATGTCCACACATCCGCAGCAGCTTTCTTCACCTTGTTGCCTGCAAGACCTGGTCTCACGCGTGGACTATGACAGGCAAATGTCAGTGTCCTAGGAGTTCGTGGGGTATGAGGAGTGCGAGGAGCATGAGGAGCTACAGCTGATGTTCCTGCATCTCTACGCTGAACCGGAGTCTCATAGGTAACTTCAAATGATCCAATTGATGAGTCGGACTCTGATGCAGGTGATGGAGTCAAGGGCTCCGGTCTAGTAGGCAAAATGCAGTTGGGATCAGTAATTGGCACTCGGGAGATTCAGAGAAGGATACTATGCCTCGGCACATCAAAAGCCACATGTCGTAAGGTTTCATCAGGTGTCTGTGTTTCACTGGGCTGCGATTTCAGTGATCCACCTGGCTTATTGCTCGCAACATGAAGTTGATGTGCCTTCTCAAGCTGCTGATGCATTGGCTGAGCAGCTGGATCTGGCCTTGGGGCACTGGCCACTATCATCGAGATATCTCGTCAATTGTCAGAACAAATGATAAGTGATCACACATTTACATACCCTCAAGTTGGAACGTCGTTCGTAGAGCGCCATTTGGCAGCGCCGTGGCACTGGACTTCACACGATTGCTTCGACTCGAGCGCGCACGCTGGGGCATAGTGCACAGAGGCTGGAAGGATGCGGGCAGTTGCAGAGCCCAGAATGGCATTAAGCCGCGGCTCAAGTGGCTCGGAGCCGGAGCCGAGCTGGCCAATGACCTAAAAAGAAGGTGGAAACTGTCATCTTCAGTGAAGATGAGAACTCAGGCAGTGAGAGATCACAATGCCAATGGTGAGTTTCATCTTTATCATTGCATCATTTATATGCAGATGATCTGGATGGTGCTTTGAATGATACAAGCAAAGAGCAAGAGATTGAAGTTGAAGATGCAGAGGTCGAAGAGGATGACGATGACGATGATGAAGACGACAATGATGACAAGACATACAAGTTGATTATCACTCAAATGCACCTACGCAAAGTCAGAAAGTAAGTGGTAGACATATTCACGTTCACTATTAATGTGTGTGCATACCAGGGGCCACTTGGAAGCTTGGTGCACAGCGGTGCACTTCATTCCAAAGATTATGAGACCCTTCGTGGACATCCTGATGGTCTTGCAGGTCAGTTTAGCATGCCATGGCATTGCAGAGAAGTTGTGGGATCTTGATGAATGGCCAGATATGTGAGTAAATCATTATTTCTGATGTTTTATGCGCATATATGCACTGTTTATTGTTATATAGTGACCAGGAGAAGGCTTCTGAGTTAATGAAGCAGTTTCGCGCTCTTCTGAAGATCATCCCAGGCCTGTCAAAGCTACTTCCCAGCCTCGATGATGATCCAGACAGCCTCATCTACCTCATGAACTTTGTACATCACCTTCGTCATTTCGTTCATATTTATAATGGTTATCGGTTTTCGGTCTGGCAAGCTCTCTCAGAAAGCTCGTTCAGCACGCACTGATGACTTAAGCAATATTAAGTGCAATATACTCAAGTTTGTGCCACCGATAAAGGGCATTCTGACAATCGATGTCGACCACCCCAAGGAGCAGTGACGATTTCATCACTTTGCAACTGCGCGCCTCCTTTGTCCTCATCAAATGAGAGATAAGTTCGATGAGGACCCTGGAAAGTACATAATCATAATTCCTTTCACGTTTGCATTAATTTGTGTTGATGTATTCCAGATTTTGCGAAAATGTTATGCATGGCAACATCTGCATCAAAGCGTCTGACTTGCCATCGATGATATATCCTGAAAAGGGGTACAACGCTGATGCCATCGACAAGAATGCCCTTAAGAGTGATCTGCTGGCTTCCGTAAGTGTCGCATTCACCACCTACTTTGTAATTACTAGTTAACACTGATGGTCCAGTGCTTTCGAGCACTGTTTACTGGTCCAAGCAGCGGCAAACATCCTGTCAATGCATCTGGTTCCAACAAGAAAAAGGGCAGTGGTCGCAATTTAATTGCAGTCACTTATCGCATGAAAGAATGCAACAAATATCATGTTGCGTATGTGACTACATTGGTACGTTATCTAGATTAATTCATTTAGATTGCTTATGGTTGGTTCAGGCACGTTTCGCACTGAACGCTCAGCGTGAATGGGCTGAATCTGATGGAGATTTTGATTATGAAGAATACTATAACTACATTCTCACCCTCTTTGACAACAAGGAGTGGTGCAAGGCCACTTTGGATTGGTACAACGGGTGAGCGTCATGCCTCATATGTATCTGGTTAGTATGCTAATCCTACAAATCTTCATACTTATAGCGAGGTCTTCAGAAGTAGTTGTCGCAAACGTTACGTCAACAGCATGTATGCACAAGATGATGGACCATCATCAATGAACCTCCTCGCACAGCAGCGTGCTGCCAGAAAAGCACACACACAAATGCTTATCTCACTGCAGTCGAGCAACAGCTCTATACCAGAGGATATAGTCCGGGATTACATAGAGATGGCTGATGAAATCTTGGACCAACCTGGACCTGAGGTGATGGAGCAGATGAGTGATCAAGATGCAGAGGGAGAGGATGAAGATGCAGAGGGAGAGGATGAGGATGAGGATGTGAAGGAAGAGGATGAAGATCTCAAGGAGAAGATGCAGCTTCGCCGCCTTAGACGTGGTGCAAACTAAATTATGGTGTGTGAAATGCTCCAGTACTATGCCTTCGCAAACATTGCTGATCGTCATTGCTTAGTCTCCAAGAACTCTGGCTGGACATTGCGTGGAGGTGTGTTTTCATTGTCAGTCAACTATACCAAGCTGTGTACTTGTGTCTCTTAGTATTATATAGAGTCATCATCCTTCGCTTTTACTCGCTTTGTGTCCATATGCTTTTGACCTTCCTTTATCCATGCTGCATAGTTAAGCCTAGATTGTCATCATTCTTCACTTTTCATCGCTCTGTGTCCACTCACTTTCGGTGATGGTTTATTATATACTCTTGTCAGACAGTAGGTTTACGAGTAATCTGTGTCAATAAAATGATATTCTGGTGTGTCTATAAACCAATGGGTCTGATAATATGTAATCTGCCTGGACAATCTATTATCACACCTCTCTGATGTTCATCTGAGGCCACAGCTAATTATCTGGACAGATGATCATTTTCTGCATTATCTGTAGATTTTCTGAGCGCATGGTAAAAGGTAGGCTGGTCAACTCACCAGTGGGTGGCTGATCTGGAATGGTGTGGTTAGTCAGTCATTTAGAGGTTGCTGATCTGGACGAACAATACATCACCTGGAAGGTTTGACAGTCAGTCGCAGATCATGCACGTTGGAGATAGTTTGTACCAGATATAATTCCGGACTTTTTGCTGATGAAGATGCGATCGAGAGTGGGGCGTGCATGCCAGTTTGCACTCCATTCCACCTCTACTATGGTCCATATTTCATCAGTCAGTCTGATCTTCATCATCTCTTCTGTGCGCTGTAGTCGTACATTGTACACAAGCACTTGGATGATGACTGTGCCCTTATGCACATATTCACTAAAAGGAGTCTTGCCCGAGTATATCTAGATACAGGTGAGGATGGCCTAAGTGATTAAACTTCATTTACAGAGGACCACGAACCTCCCATACTACCATTGAGAGTGAATATATATCACTTGAATGCGGTTCATAATCAGTGTCTTCAAGTGATTCTGGATCCAGATGTTCCGGCACCATCCAACGGGTTGTGCCACTTGATTCTGACATTTTGTTATAGCTTGCATAATACCTGGATCATACATCATGGTAGCAATCCTGAAGTCCGATAGGCATGCATGGGAGTGTTCATCGATGAGGACGTTAACCTTGCAATATATGTCAATCTGATGGAGAGCAGGGTGAGCATTATCACGTACTCCTTTTAGATCGCCATGAACCAGATGCGACGAGTGGAGGTACTCTAGACCTTTCACAACATCGATGAGCTGTATACGTATATGTGAGCTAGTTATGATGATGCGTATAGCTGGTCAGCGGACCAAGAACAGCCTCACTGGGGACATGAGCCCATGATTCTGCAGGGAACATCTTGGACACATTGTAATAACAGTCTCAATAATCACGCAATGTTTTCAGTGTATACATTTTGAAATCATTTTCAATGTTTTAAGAATCAGTACTACAGGACAATTTTGATAACATTCATAATGATGCCACAATCAGGCTCCAATGTTGTGGCTGACAGCGTTCAAGCAACATTGTAGTAACATCTTGAATGTTTTTCGAGAGAACATTTTAAATGATATTTCTGAGGGGCCATGATGTCGTCAAGATGCTCCCACTGGGTTCATTGTGATCGTATAAGATTTATTACCATATATAGTAACCTGCTAACCATATTAGAACATCCCTGATGCATTCAAGATGATTCTAGCTGACACATGATGGAAAGCATCTGGCACTCATTGTAATGTCACCTTGATTACATTTGTAATGTACACCTAACATCCATTTAAAATGATGCCAACATGTTGTGTGAATGCTGGCTGGAGAAAAATTGTTGTCACATTAGAGTGTCTTTCTGAATAATATCACAATTATTCCACGATGATTGACACTCGAAACAATTTAAATACTTTCATAATGTTTACACCGGTAACATTATAATTTCATTGTGACTGTTATCACAATGTGTTTAAAACGTTCCCGGTGGAATCATGGGCTCATGCCCCTGGTGTCTATCTATGTCCAGGTTGTCATGGAGGTGTGACACAATTGTGTTGTATTTCATCCACTTGCTCACGAGGCAAAGGGGTGAGATGCGGGTAGTGATTCCCAAAAATGGTGTGATATTTCGATGGTGTAGGCGTCGCCACTGCAGAGCTTCTTTACAAAATACCTATGCAGTGTTACAGAAATGCTTCACATGTCAATCATTCAAAAGTGCACTTGCCTCGTGTATTCCCTGCATCCTACTCAGATTACAGTGACCCACAAAACTGTTGATAAGATTGCTCACTTCGATTTGTATAGTGAATATCTCCTCAACCAATAGGTCAACTACATTGTATAAGAACTCAGTGGAAAGCGTATTATCATGGCTTTCTAACACAGTTTTGATCATATTTTTATCACATTTTGATCCCAAGATATTTACTAATCTTTGAGGGTCACTCTTATCAACAGTTTTGTGGCACACACACAAGTTCTCAGAAAATTGTGATTCTTGATGTGTTGACAGGGTTCTTTGTGGGAATATTGATTGATATTCATGTTTAAACATGAACAATGTACAAACAGCCATACACAACTCTTCACACTCAACCAACATCATGCCAAAAGCTGTTGCTACTGAAACTGTCAATCATGTCATCGCTTTGCTTCAGAATGGCAAATCTTTTCGAGAAATTGAAGCTTTGACTGGTCTACACTACTCGACCATCAGTAAACTATGCTCCACACACTGTCCCACCATTTCTAAGGCCAAAGGAGGACGACCTTCCCTTCTTTCTACTGCCAATCTTCACTATGCTACTCAACTTATTGGGACTGGCAAGGCTACCACATCTCCTGCTGTGGCCAGAGCTCTTGGAGATGTTACTGGGAGGGTTGTCAATGCAGAGACAGTGTGAAGAGGGTTGAAGAAGGCAGGAATGAAGGCTGTAGTAAAGTGCAAAAGGCCTTTACTCGCTGCAAGGCATCGAAAGGAGAGGATGGACTTTGCTTTGGCTCACCAATATTGGACTGTGGAGGACTGGAGAAGGGTGGTATGGTCAGATGAGACAAAGATTAACAGGATGGGATCAGATGGAAGAAAATGGGTGTGGAAGAAGCCAGGGGAGAGCCTCAGTGATAGGTTGGTGGAAGGGACCCAGAAGTTTGGAGGTGGATCTTTGATGATGTGGGGCTGTATGGGCTGGGATGGTGTGGGATATGCCTGCAAGATTGATGGCAGGATGGATGCAGACCTTTATATCAGCATTCTGGAGGATGAGCTGCAGAATAGCCTGGAGGATTGGGGCAAAACTGTGGAGAATGCGGTGTTTCAGCAAGACAATGACCCCAAGCACACCAGCAAGAAGGCCAAGGATTGGTTCAAAGACCATGATTTCAACACTATGATATGGCCCTCTCAATCCCCAGATCTCAATTCCATAGAGCATCTGTGGGTCATCTCAAAAGGAAGCTTGCAGAGTATCAGGAGCCACCAAAGGGAATCACTGAGTTGTGGGAAAGGGTGGAGAAGGAATGGGAGGCTATTGGGAAGGAAGTGTGTCAGAATCTAATTGAAAGTATGCCAAGGAGGGTGCATGTAGTGGTGAAGGCAAAGGGAGGCTATATCAAGTACTGAAAGTACAAGTTTTGTAGAACCTGGATATGTGCCACAAAACTGTTGATAAGAGTGACCTTCAAAGATTAGTAAATATCTTGGGATCAAAATATGGTAAAAATATGATTAAGACTGCATTAAAAAGCCATGATAATACACTGTCCAATGAGTGCTTATACAATGTAGTTGACCCATTGGTTGAGGAGATATTTACTATACAAGTCGAAGTGAGCAATCTTATCAACAGTTTTGTGGGTCACTGTATGTATATGGAAGCACTTCAAAGCCACTGCCATCTTATTGTACAAGCTCAAATAGACAGTGACATATCCTCCATGACCAATGGGAGTATCGCTCATTTTATGAATATCTGCTTTGACCAATTGGAAGAGCTTTGGCAGTGATCCTTAATGCATGCACAGCTTTTGCAATATACGAGACATCACTGCAAACATGCTGCTGGATGGTGAAATATGATCGAGAACTTAGAATAAAACCAGCCATAACGAGCCAAATATTCATGAATATACGTTAACCAGGAAGGTATGCCAACAGTTTCACAGTGTTGAATCATATCGAAGGACATAGATGCCACAGAATGAGTCCACGTACTTTGTTTAGATGGTCTATAACTGACTGCACGATGGTGTTTCCTAGGTGTAAAATCACGTCCACCACCTAGCTGAATGTCGCCATGCTGCACTGATCAGACGTCTCCATAGTATTGTCATTGGAGGTTGTGGAGGTAACGTTCGATAACAGTATCTAGAAGTAGGGCTTAGACAAGATCATCCGACCATGCAGTCTCAAATATTACGAAGGCATAATGACAACTCACTTGCAGAAGCTGATCAACCTCATCTAATGGAGGACTTCGTGTGTCTCCACGGATATTGTTATTGCATATTTCTAATGTTATGAAGAATGAGCTGTGGTATGTCAAATGAAAGGACAATTGCACATACGATGAACTGCTGTGTCTTCATTGAGTTCAGATGTAGAAGCATGCCTTTCAGTGATTCTTTGCAGATGCTGTAACAGAATCGTGAACACAATATATCATGACTATTGTGAGCCATTTATCTGAGTTATTAGAGTCTACATTGTGATTTAGCTCAGCGACATCATCTCATCGAAGCAACTAGGCATACGTAAGGAAGGGAAAATAGTAGATGATCAATGTACGATTTGCTTATAAAATCACTCGTGATAAACATTTAAGAAGGTACTGATCAGGCCTAGCTGTCATTCTGATACAACAATCACCTCACCTGAGAGCAAAACTGGTGATACATTGGCAGCTGTAGTGAGAGCACTCTCCTGTAAATGTATTGTCAATGTAGCATGGATGCACTATGGACGTACCACTAATACATCACGATGTAACATGCTACATTATGCTTCATTACAGCTCGATTGCTGATAAATACAGATTAATCTGCCTTTTTGGGCATTCACAAATGATTGTGGCCAGTTGGCATCAGTTTGCTCCTGCATGGCTGGCAGCGCATGACTTATCAGGTGGCTGAAATCCCCTTATGGGCAAAATGTGCAGGCGCTACTACACCACTCTTCACATCCCATTTGAGAAATGGTCGGGTTGATCCCGATCACTGTTGAATACTGATGCTCAGATAGAGATCTCATACATCATCTCAAATCTGGCCTAGAGCATTAACATTCACATGCTGAACTCCTCGTGATGTGATGGTATGTGGCTTCGAGATGTGTGCATGTAACTGAGTTTTGAGATTTTGCTAGGTACACCTGACACAGACTGGCATGACAATGTACAGCATCAAAGACAAAAGAAAACAGTCTTCACCATGTAGCAAAAATGGACACATTTCAGACTTCTGAATTGAAGAGTAACAGGCCTCACACACAGGTTTCGAGCTGCAACAATGGTTTTTCATCATACTACTGGTAAGTACATTTTTTTTGCTACTGAGGTTCTTTATCAAGAAAATATATGCACAAGAAAAGAAATCAGCATTTCGAGAGAGTACATTGCAAGGCTTTTGCTACTGGAATTCTGCATCAAGAAATATGCACACAAGAAAAAAGATATTATGTAAAAGCTTCAAGGAACACAGACCATGCAGCCACCAAATGTACAGCAGTGGGCATGAAAATCAAGCCCTCACCTGTTTTGCTCTACAACTGCCCTATGATGTGGTTTCTCGTTTACGAGACAGCTTCTGGATCTCCGCATCTACTACATTTTCTTTGCCCTTTGATCTGCCCCTCCCGCATCCTTCTCAGCTTCTACTGTAGCATTAATCCTGATGTTTTCTGAGGTGGATTGTTCCGTCCTGCAGGAAGATAAGAGTCTTGATGATGGAGGTGGTGTAGCATCCAGACACAGAGGTGCTCGGTGTTTTCATGCAGGATGACTTTGGGTGTCCACAGATGTTGTCAGAGTTGAAATGGGAAGAAATAGCTCAGTCTCAGATGTGACAGATGTAAATACCACAGGTGGTGCTGAGATGACTGATGCAGATGGTGTGGAGGCAACTGAGACAGGTGATGCAGAGGTGACCAAGGCAGGCAGTGTGGAGATGACTGAGGCAGGTGGTGCTGAGATGACCGACACAGGCAGTGTGGAGACAACTGATGCAGATGGTGTCGGTGTGAGTGATTTAGATAGCAGCAGACCAGGAACAGAGGATGCGGATGGTGCGATACCCAATTTGAAGCTGGCATCTGCTGAAGGAAGAGTGCCTGACCTGACTATGCCATTTTGAGTGACATTCAGGCTGAAATTTAAAGGATGTTCAGAATTGGGGAAGAAATCATCCAACAGTGACAAGCTTCATGGTGAGAGGACAATGCTTATCAAATCTGTCTGTTCGAGCTGAGTGATATCAAAAGAAAATGGGTCCATGATCACATTGCTATTGTCATCTGCCTCTGGTAGAAGAGCCTGAAGCTCTTATGTAGCAGAGCAGCAGTGACCATGCTGCCACTGGAGCCAGCAGATGAAGTGGGCAGCCCACATGATCACCATCAGAATGGACATCAATAGATGCAAGTGAGGAGTTATACAAGGACACTGAGTTTAGATGCAATAAGGAAGGAAGTGAAGAGTGGTGCATGTCCCATCCAGGTGATGAGCTTCCATCAGAGGAGGCCGATTGGAGCTCATACTCACTTGATAGCCCCTCTGATGGCTTGAGGTCAGTGCTTGCAGTACATATGTTGAGGTGCCTCAATTGCGTATAATGCACAAATTTCTTTTGCTGTGGCACCAGTGTTAGACTTTCAGAAGGAGGGTGACTGGATCAACACTCACGAAAGACAGCGGCAATGAATTCAGCGAATGGCTTAATGCAGCACACTTTAATATCAATCGAGTCAGCAAATGTAAGTCTGGAGACTGTCTTGCCTTCATGGATACTTTGTGATAGATGCCAGTTAATACAACTGCAATAACAGAGACAATTTTGGCATACCTGATGGTTCGAAGCTCCCCCCATTCCTGTGATGCTGGCCCTCCTCCGAACACCATGAAGCAACAGCCGGTCTTGCATGAAAGCTCACAGAGAAATTCTCTCAGAACAATGGGTGCATTGTTGAGGCGCTGTGTTCATCAAGCTGGTCACAAAGCCACATAGACATTGTTGAGTAAAGCACTTACAGCTGGTGCTGAAGGGGCGAAGGTTCGCTGTCAGCCATCCCGGCATGGGCATCTTCCACCATGTCAATCTTGGCCTGAATTTCAGCCTTCACCTCCTCGCTTTCCTTCTCAAACACCTCCCTTGTCACCCTCTTAATAACTGCCAAGGTCTGCTTCTTACCCAAGTTATCACGTTCGATCTCAGCTGCAACAAGGGGCTTGATCTTGGCATCATAATACTTATAAGAATAGACCTCCACTGGCTGCAAGCAACGATGACCCACCGGCTTTGACAATGATGTCAAATTCACCTTGGCAGCATCCCTTGCCATGTGGTGTCTGCTGTTCCCCTTATTATGAAACCAATTTACGATTTGCTGTTCATAACTGGCTCAGCACATGGCGAAGATACTTGGCAGTAAGGACTCACCTCTCTCTATCTCACAACTGCATTCATCAGTTCGATAGTCTGTTCAGGTGTAAGCATTGCCGCTTCTGACCCAAATAACTGTTCCTTCTCTGAGAACTGTTTCAAGAACTCAAAGGATACCAGTTTTCAGAAATGCGATAAGTCCTTCTTTGCTTTGTGGTCAATGTAGGACTGGTATTGACTTTCCAGGAATTCAAGCTCAGCATCTGTGGTCTACCTCTTCAGAGCCATGATGGGTTGTATGTATCTGCAAGATGAACATGTGAGCATTATGCGATGCTGAGAGAGAGGACACTGATACATTATGAGTTAACAGTGATGCGATCTTCCAGCATGCACCCTCGATATTTACTCTGCAACGCCTAGCCAATGAAGAGGACTTATGAATTGTGGCAGTGAGTAGCTAATTGGTGGTGAAGAAAGGCCACGCTGAGTGAATTGCAGCAAACATTCAGCTTCTACGTGGTGCCTAATGCAGCATTTGCATATCCAATGTATCTTCGTAAGTTTCCGCTTGTATACTGATTGATTCTCATCGATCCACTAATTTTTTGCCTGTCAAGGTCTTTAAATTGTGGCCCCAGAATGTCAGCCTGCCAACGTGCACTACTCCCTTCACTCTCCTCATTTCTGCACCATGACCCGCTATGGAAAGTCAAGCACTGACCTGGAGAATGAGAGCAATGAGCATGGTGAGCATGATGATCATGACCAGCACGACAATGCAGCCAACCTGATGCCACACTTTAACTCTCGACACCCTCATATCGGCCCTCTGCCTTCTCATGGATCAGCAGGTGGTAGAGGCAAGCTTTCATGGATGCAACTGTCATTATACATTGCTCACCATCATTTTTAGAATACCTTACAGCTAACAGAATTCATACTAGCAAATGCCGTGAGTGACAGCACCAGTGGTCGCACAGCTGATGCATCCTCTATTGCAGCCTTCAATATCCTAGCGATGCTGTCCCCAGCTGCCTCTGCGAGCAGCATGTTCAATGAGGTCTCTAACCTCAGACACACTGCTGAGGCAGTCACTCAACCCATCTCTCAGCCTGCTGTTTCAATTATTCAGCTTGCTCAAACCATGCAGCCAGCACTACACTGGTACTGTGTTATGCGTGGACATGCCGTTGGTGTCTTCATCAGCTGGTAAGCTGGCTTCCAGCCCTCCAGTATGTGCTGTGCTGACACTCTCCTAGGACCAATGTATTGCTGCTCATCACTGATTTGCCTGGGTCCATTTATCAGTGCCATGCCAACTTCGGTGCTGCACTCACTGTATTCATCGAGGCAGCTGGCAATGGCACAGTGCAGATCATTTTCTGAGCATGTAGCTAAATGATGCTTATGATGCTCAGTTCTCAGTCACATGTGGATGCAGTCTTGCCACCACTAAAATGCCTAGATTTTCTGTGTTATACTACAATGCTGTCTCATGTTCATACTCCCATAGCCACTGAATCTGTTTCTTGATGCCCACCATATATCTGTTCTGAGTCCACAAAGAATAAATGTTGACTTATCATATTCTGTGAGCATGACGACTGTCTGTCACCTCATTAATTGCATCTTATGAGCGTGATCTCAACCCATCATCTTGGCCAGCATCTTTCTCAGCTGTTAATATGGGTCACAAGGCTAAATATCTGACACTCGCTGAGAAATGAACTGCCAAACAAGAACAACGAAAGAAATATGTTAAATTTGATAGGTCTGTGATTTCTGATACAGACAGCACACCAGCCACTGAATAGCAGCACATGCTAGAGGGCACAATATATGGTCACAACAGAATAAATCAGCTTATCTAGCAAAGTGAGCAGAGCAGAATCTTTCCCCATTCCCTTGTAAACTTGCAGAAATACCATCCAATATTATAGCATATGTCCACCATGCATTCAGCACAGACTGTGCAGTACAGAATGGTGATAACCTTGGCCTATGGAGTGCTCCATTCAGAATGAAAATCTTCCCCATTATCTCGAACGATCAGACAATGAACACCTATTTGATGTACCAGATGACGAGGACTTCCTGGCTGTACTCACAGCTGAACTCCACATTCAGCAACTTTTCTGTGTGATTGAAGCCGGGAATTTGTGCCATGAGATGTGGTCTTCATGCAGTGGAGCCACAGAAATAGAGGAAAGAGTCCAGGAGGTCAGAAAGGAGATGCACACGAGAATAGAGAGTTGGCAGGATGATGAACAGCTAAGTGAGGAATTTCTAAGAGCTCAGGTAGCACATGCCATAGGGTTGGAATGGGAAGCAAAGGTTATATGTTGCCTGGCTATAGAATTGAGGTTGCAGGAAGGAAGCATGGATGGACTTGCATATGATGGACAGTGCAGAGAATCTAATTTACCATGGCAGTGACTCTGTGCTCATGCGTAATTGTGGCTGAGCTCGTCTTGTGGCTGAGAGTCTATACAGCTGTCTCCTCCCCTCCTACATGGTTGACTCTCCCCTCTAGATTTTACCAGAGAACATATTCATATCATTTTCAGCATTTGAATGTCATTGTAATATTTACTTTTGCCAACAACACACAGGAAAACCTGTGCAAGGCAAACATTAAAATTCAGCATGTCTGTTATATGCCTGCTGATTGGCTGAATTTATATGCATGACCTGAGCGGAGTTCAGTATGTCCGTTATGTGTCTGCTCATTGGCTGGAGTTATACACATGACTTATATTTGGAGCGGAGTTTTTTTTTTCTTGGTGCAGAGCTAGCTCAAGCCACCAAGGTCTGTCAATCCCCCATTTCAGTCATGCTCACTGTCCCCGTCATACACATTGGTACGTTTCATTTTGATTCAGGACTTGTTTGGAGAATGCCTGCTGAACATATGCACAGTTTTTCGACCCATGTATGATTTTTCAAATTTTATATATTGACGTTGTATTGATATCTTTTGTCTCTGCATGGGTTCAGTCACTCCTTGCTATCTACCATTGTGAGATTGATATCAGCCTCATTGCAGATGTGAGAGGATGTTTCAGTATGTATGAGGTACGTCAGCATGATTGTATGATTTCTGCAGGCTAAAGGAGCACACTATAGTGTTACTGTAAACATTCAAATGTAACCGATCTAGGTAACATCTTTCACTTCAAAACAGAACCCAGATCTTACAGTATATATGTAGGGCACATTACCCCAATATCTATACCATGTTCGCAATCCAAACACGTGCCCTGCATGAATTGCTCTTTTGGGCACACATGTATATATCAGTGCATGCAAATTTTCTGCATGGTCATAAACTGCCAGCTCCCTAGTGACACCTCTCCCTTCCCTTCACCATCTCAGGTCAGAGCTGATAAGCCTCATAATGTCCAAGTGACGGTGATGCCAGCATGACTGCAATGTTGACTACTATGCTCTTTCCAACAATGAGGATAACCCAGCAGCACAGTCATCCTCATCTCAGATCCTCAATCGGCACACTGACTACTCAATATGTGACCATCATCTCTCAGTGTGCACATCGTACATCGCTACTGATGCTCCTCAGACATCAATACCTACACCTTCCCTCCTTAGCCTGGAGGAGAGTCCATCAGCATCCCCAATGCTGACCTTTCTCAGGGTGAGCACACCTTCACAGACCTAGACATTGACTATATCCATGAGCTTGGTGAGATGGACGAGGGTCAGAAATGATGATGCCATACCACAGTGGTATGCCATTTATTTTGATTACAGTTTCATGTCAATATTAATGATTTATGTTTAGGACCATCCATTGTGTGAATGGACTTTGCATCGAGATGAGTGGCTGGCTGAGATCTTTCATCATGAAGGCAGATGCGGGTACATCACTGAGTTTTGTCTGAGGTGTCATATGAACAAGGCAGACATCTGTTGCCTAAACTGTGATGATCTAGCATTGTACTGTGAATCCTGTATTGTTGAAGCACACTGTCTAAGTCTGTTCCACTGCATCAAGGTGAGCTCACAGCAACTGTCTCAACAGAAATGTGACTGCTCATGGATTGTTCACAGGTGTGGGTCAAGACACATTTTTGCTATAAAATGCTCAGACAAGCTGGACTGTGCATTCAACTTAGTTATCCCATTGGTGAGTGCTGCAGAAGGCTTCAGCCGACATGGGATGATGACTTTACCATCCTAGACATATCTGGCATTCATTCAGTAGTGCTCAACTTTTGTAACTGTGAGCAAGCCCTCTCACATGACATTCAACTATTGCGCGCACACCTATTCCCTGCTACCAGCAAGAACCCAAAGACTGTGGTGACTTTTCGACTCCTTGAACATTTTCACGCACTCTCGACCTGTTATGAAGTGTTCTGTCAGAACCTTCCTGACCACGTGCCCTTATAGCATGTGCTAGCTTCCTCGTTGAATGTTATAGTAGGGTCCAACCCTAGGAGTGTGCAGCAGTGAGGTTTGGTCACTCTGCTCTTTGCTAGGTCACTGGGAGGCTACTGCACATTCACTCACAGGTTACTAGGTTTGCCCTCTCTCTAGCCAAGCGCATGAGCTTGAATACCTCTTGAGAGTGAGTGCAGATCCCTTCTGCCCTGCTAAGATCAGAAGTATTGAGAAAGCTTCTTGTCAAGAAGGGTTCTAGTGAAAGAATGGGTCTTAGAAACAAGGAGGAAGAGGTTGGTCTTCTCTCCGTGATCTGTGCCCCTTATATAGTTGCAGACCTATAGTCTGGGGTACTAGTACAGAGGGTCCCGCTATTCTAAAGATAGGTAAAACACACTGGAGCTTAGCTGCTGTGAGCCAGGTAATTGGTGAGCTAAGAAAAGCGCAGGTGAAATACCTGAAATATGAAATGGGAACCAAAGTCCTGGATCACAGATCCTGGGGTTAGAATTTGAGAACCCTAGAAGTTATCCTTGATCACATAGTGACTGATATCACCTGACCATGATTGGGCATCTCTTCTAGGTGCTTGTTCATGGGGATCACGTGACCATGAGCGACGGTACGTTTTGTAATACGACCCAGGCTAATGTATCCGGTTTCCATTTCTATGCCATGCTTGAATGCCGTACTGACAACACCGGCATGAAATGTCTTCCAGTGTGTATGTCCTTCATGCATGCATTGAACTCACCTGGTTAAATGTTCCATTTAAGATCGTTACTCTGCATTCATGCAGATGATGTGGCAATGGAGACGTCTTAAGTTGATAAAGCATGCAGGATGAGAGCATGATCTGGATGGAATATCTGTGACAGCTCCAGGTAGCTGTGCTGTGCTTTGCCCAGCATGCCCACATCTCAGCAAGAACCTTCCCAACAGTTATGAGAAGGCACCTCCTGAATGCGTGTAGGTACTGAGTACTCAAACATCTGGCATGCATTACTGATGTACTGCACCAAAGATGGCTGTATCAGCTCTTTGTCGGCATTAAAACCAACTTTCAGCTCAAAAAGAAACAGGTTTCATCCGATGAAGTTGACTCTGGTCTCAACCAAGGGTGCACTTTCTTTGTGGAGGAAAAGGTGTACAAGGATCACATTCACACATTCGGCACCATTGTCAAAGAAGAATCGAGCACATGCAATGACCACGATGCAATCAAACTCATGAATATGAAGGGTGGTCAAGGCACTGCTATGAGTGGCGTGAGGACAGTTGAGTGCATGAGACATGATATGAAGCATTCGTGCTCCATTGGTGATTTGCAGAAGGGAGAATGGTGTGCATGTCTGCGATCACCGTGATTTTACTTAGCTGATGGAATATGAATAGGTATGTCAACATGGACTACCTGTTCATTAGCAGCATGGACCAGAATGCTCCAGTGGCCGTGATTGCCTCATACGACATCACTTGTTAATGGTCCATGCATCTATGGAAATGCATATTGCAATACTCACCAACCTTCAATCTCAAGAAACGTGAGATCATGTTTTTGATTCCCATGTTCCATCTTTCAGCACATCAGCCTAGCTGCCACCTCATGTTCTCCTTCAACATCATCAAACATGTCACTCGCACTTATGGAGAGGCATCAGAGCATGGCTGGGCTGCTGTGAACCCATTCACATTGAGTACGAAGGAGATGGGCCCTGGCTCCTAGCACGACCTCCTTAACAATGTCTTCAGTGCATATAACTGGGGTAAGGTCTGCAAACTCAGTATGGCTGCCCACCCTCAGTCTGTATACTGCCCAAATTGATAATTCCCTTACAGCCAAGTCATTGCTGACAAAAATCAAGAACACAGTCTCTGAGTGCAATGAATAAACAGCAGCATTCGAGGATCTCACCTCATCCTTACTGGCTTCTCGCATAGCTGAGTGGAAAGCAGTCATTGAGGCATGGGAAGATGACAGGTTAGTGCCAATCTGTTTGAAGTGAGGTGATGCAGTGTCACAGATCACCGTAGATAAAGATAGATGATGATAAACTAGATCAGTCCCTCAGAGGGTACTCTGATCCAAATAGATATGGTGGTCAATACGATGAGCCCGTCGATGAGCGAGTCCCTTCAGTCATGTGTGTACTCACTGGCTTATACGTGGAGCTGGGTGGCAAGTGAGGCTATGCAATAGTGATGATAGTTATTAGGTTTATTAGACCTGTAGTAGCTGTCATGGTGGACGAAGGAGAATAAGACCGAGGTCTTGTCTCCTGTTCACCCTGGTCTTATATACATGGATGGAGTGCTACTATATAGTACTTACATAAGTACCTTCCACGCTGCCTATATGCTAGCTTTACCATCGTACAATGTGTCCCTATTATTGTGATTGGTGCCTATGTATAGTGCGGCATGATGGAGCTCTGGGTGGTGCTACCTTAGTCAGTCAGGGTGGATGTCCGAGGCTGAGATAAGCTGACTGAGTGACTTAGTCGGGGTCACTGCCAGGGCTGAGGTCACATGATGTTGTGCTATTTATGGTAAGGCTGATGGCTGACCTGTCACATGATGTGTAAGATGAAATGAAAAGATAAATGTAATCTAAGTGTATCTATGTTCCGTATATAGGTTGTCTGGCAAAACTGTGACATGCAGTAAGTTATTTGCATGGTTCATGATGAGTCCGACCTAATGACAGTGCACAGAGATCACACAAGCCAATGTGCAGCTTCAGTTAGCAGAGGAAGACACTACATTATTGCAAGAGGGAGGCACTTTCAAGTTTCATGACAAAATCAGCCCTAGCATGATGATCATGTCAGGGCTGGAGCTTGAGGAGCAACGGTGCGTATCGAGCAATTGGCATGAGCTGATGCTAATTTGCTTGTGTCAGACAATGTCTATGTCATGATATGGCTCAGCTCAGTCAGCACTCGACTGATCTTCAATGCGCAAGGATTCTCGAATATCGCAACACCCTCCAATGTCGTCTTGACACCCGGATAGAAATACAACATCTATGCATGCCCGCCGTTGCCATCCTTTGCTCTCAGTTGTCATCTGAAGATTCTGCCCACACCATCCTGGATGCACCGCTATACCTCCCATCTGACATTGTCAATGAATACCTTCATCAAGACAATGTCCTAATTGGCTATAAATTCCATCTATGACATGCACAAGCTCACGATGCATTAGAGAACTTGCAGCATCATTTGTGGCTGTGGAGTCACCTTGATTCATTCAAGGACCAGTTCGTGCATGGACAATGCTACAACACACAAGTGCATGCTATCATCACCACAGTCCAAGACAAGATCAATGTTGATGTCATCCGGTACTAGCATGCATGCACTGCTCTGGAGGTCCTCGCTGCTGAGACTGGTGATCAGAGTTGGCGAGGTGAGTTGCAGGCCCTCGAGAGCACAGACATTTGGAGCATGACAGAGGGCCAGTTTGGTGAGAGTGATGGGTGGTGGACATGCTTTCGTGGATCTGGTGTACTGCAGGAGTCAGCCAACTGGACAGCGCAAGTGAGGACGAGGGCATACAAGAAGGTACATTTTAAAGGTCTTAGAATTATGTCCTCCATGGCTGATACCTTTTACAGCATTGCGTGTGGAATGGTGCAAGGCGCGTGCATGTGCACAACATTGGATGGAGGAATGCGAGCTGCTGGAGGAGGAAATGTGATGAGTTGTCACTTTTCATGAGTACTATGCAGGTTGGTGGCTGGAACAGTTGGGTAGAATGGATGGGCAGACAAAGGAGCACTGGAAAGGGCTGACAGTGTATGCCATGTGCCAGGCAGAGTTACACACAGCAATGGGCAGGTTTTGTAGCAATTCCTGAAGGTATGTCAGAGAGTGGCTGCAGTTTGGTTACAAGAAATCCAACACTTCCATGGAGAATGCTGCCTCATAAGAGTGTTATGTATTGTAGATTACGAATAAAATCTATCAGAGATGGACTCTTTACATGCTGAGCAGGTACATGATATATTACAGCTGACATGGCAATGCATCACGGCCAGCCTAAATTGTGATACATCAGCCTTCAGGCTGTGGTGATATATCCTCGTGCAGCAAGGATGATACATCACTGCTCAAGCTGTGGTGATATATCCTCACACAGCAAGGATAATGCATCATGCAGCAAGGATGATACATCACCGTTCAGGCTGTGGTGATATATTCTCGCACAGCAAGGATGATACATCGCAGCTTGAACAATGATGTATCATGATACACATTAATGCTCAATTAATAAGGTGATATGTTACTCACAAGTTTAAAGAAGCCAGGACATCTTGAGACACTGAAGTGAGCAGGGGAAAGGTGAAGCAGTAGAAACGTGCACAAATACATCATGACCAGAAAGGAATGGCTGGGGAGGCAGTCATGAAGCAGATGAACAATGACAAAGGCAGCCAGGCATGGTGATGTGCAGAACCGAGGAAGAGCGGAGAAGCGAACAAGAGCAGGGCAGTGGAAATGCATGTAAGGAATGGCCAGGGAGGTGGTCATGAAGCCATGCTACATGGTAAATTTTTGGCAACATGCATAGTGACCAGGCAGACAGGGTGGACTGAGAAAATGCAGGCAAAACAGTGTGGAGCTAGGTGGCTAGATGAAAGCCAGGCATGGTGATGCAAAGAGTAGGAGAAAGCCAGGCACTGAAGTGAGCAGGGGAAGGGTGGGGCAGTGGAATGATGTGATTGCCAATGACATACCAAAGCGAATTGTGAAGAGCGTGCATGGCATGTGGGTGGGCAGATTTTCACCATTAGCATGGACCTGTCAAAAATAGATGGTGCACAGGCCAGAGCCCAGCAGACTGGTGCCTGGCCGCAGTTGACTGGGGACTGCCAGAGGTCAAGTGTCGCAGGAGCTGCAACTGTAGCACCCTGATGTATCACGCTGGGCTCTAACAATAGTAAGTCATGTATCATTGCTTGTGCTCTAATGCCAGCAAATGATATATCATTATGCCAGCCTTTGGTGATCTGCTTGACTGCCGTATAACTGATTCATACTAAGGCTCTAACTATTTATACTATTTACACTCCTGAGGTGTAAATAAATAGTATATAGTAAATAGTTATCTATATGTCATGTAAACAGTTTATATAAAGTTTATATAGTTTTTTTGGTCCCATCTTTTGATGGAGTTTTACTTAACTGTGAGCAGCCTCTGTGATTGTTGAGGCCTTAAGGACCTGTGTGCATCAGCAAGCATTCAATGTCAACACTTGCACCAGGAATGACCAGAAAATCTTATGTCATACAAGAAATGACAAGAAACTCATGTTCATGAGCCTACATGATGATAAACTGTCAGTGGTGACTTTGTTAAACACTATGACTTTCAATTGGCTCACTGTTGTACTGTCAAATCTAGCAATTGTGCACTCAGTAGCCCTATATCATCATAAAACTATTTATACTATACATATACATCTATTTACTATGTACAGGCTCAACTGTAAACTAACAAACCATCTGATCCATAAGTTCAACGTCCTTGTATGTAATTCTCATCTACATCAGCGGCAGCTTCAATTGACATGATTAGTCATTTTTCATCGAGACGTGGCATATACGTACATATGCTTCACATGTAAGTGTTGAGAATTTTGCAGGAAAAACAGCACGGATAGGCAGGCTGCAGACTCAGTAGGAGAGTTTTCCTAAATTGTGACTCGAACTCAACCCCTCCTTAGATCTTAGGTTCTCAGAATATTACTCACTGCTAAAGCAATCATGAGGCTTGAGACACAGCTCTATTGAGGCCAATGAAACCATCAGTCTCGACTGCATTCTCAATGTCAGCAAGCTGTTCAACAGCTTCACGACCACGGTCTTGAGGAAGATGAAAAATCACCTTGCAGCTGAATCTATTTGTCAACAACAAATGTAATTTCCACTGTGCATTTGCAATGCACAACTATGTAAGTGAATGTTAGCTTTCAGTGGTTTATCAGAAATCAGACAATCGGTCACCTACTACTGATGGCACAAGATTATAAAAACCAGATAAATCAGTATTTGGCTGAGCTCTGCAGGTTTTGTGCCAGACTCATGCTACAGTATCAAGGAGCGAAATTTTTTCTGAATCCCATTCAGAGATTGGGGGGAGAGGATTCAGCTGGGTGAATGTGAGGAGTGGTGCTTGGGGTCTGGATAGTGAGTGTCCAGGGTCCTGGAAACATGGCCAGGCTCCTGATTCACTGGCTGACGATCCAGAGCTTCTGAGCGCATTTGGGCTGAAACTCTTGAGTGTACAGCAGCTGCGTAGCTGCCTGATGAGGAAGGCACAACTACACCACTGCTACACACTAAGAAATGATATCAAATGGTAATCCATCTTATGCAGAGGTCACACACACCATATCGTTCTGGAGTTCCTGTGATCATTCAACGCAATGCCAATAGTAAGGCTCCAACCATTTATTTTATTTACCATGTATAAATGGTTTCAACCATTTACTATGTCCATTTACTTACAATGATGCTGTACATGGTAAATATGTGTATATATATAGTATAAATGGGTTTATAGTGACATGAGGCTATTGAACGTGCATTGCCAAATTTGGCAGCACACCGGTGAGCTATTTGAATGGCATATTTTAGACAGAAGCCGCTGACAGCTGATCATCAATTGCTAGAAAATCTACAACAGAATTCTATGCTATATCTGCACCCATGCCTCCCACAGCAATTGATGACATCAACAGCCTTGTTGATGCCATCACAACATTCAGCAAGAAGCTCCCCCTCCCTCTACACTTGAAGCAACAAAACAAGACCAAATCTATGAGGTGATTACCGCCATCAACGGTGACTCACTTTGGGAAAAGTTCAATCGTCGCTTCAGCATTCTCTTTGCTGAGGATTGTCATGATGAGAATGGCCATTTGCATCATATTCGCTGAGGACGTCACGGAATGGGGGCTGTCATTGTGTATCTGCAAAGGATAGCTGATGAAAAAGCCCTTGTGAGGTTCTATGACCTGATGGCTATCAAACTAGCCCATCTGCAAAATGAACTGGAGTTGTTATGGTACGCATCTTATTGAACAGTGCTTTGTGCTATCCTCACTGGCTGTGTGCAGTCGACAAAACGGAAATATGAGCATCAAGGATCCCATGCCCATGTTGACTTTCACATCTGAATGCCAGCAAGCGCATCCAGCATCAGATGTTCACGAATGACAATAAGCGCGCACAGCATCAGATGATCACAGCGTTCTCAAGGATGTGTCAGCACCCATCAATGATGGCTCTGAAGTAGACGCAAGGTTGACTGAACGCACTGTGAGTTATTGCTTTATCTGTGTATCTGTACTTGGCTCAGAAGTTTTCAGAAACCCGTGAAAAGTGTAATGAAGGCATACAAATTGAAGAGCACCAGCAAAGTGGTGCTCAAGGCAGAGTTGACGCTGATCCTTGCACTTTGAGGTAAGCCAAACACATATCTATGGAAAGAGTACACCGTTCACTGATACAATGATATACATCAAGATCTACCCACTAAAGACAACCCCAGAGACAAGACATACTGGCCTGCTGCTGATGATCGTGACCATTCGATTTCGCCAATTTCTCTTTATGACCTCGATGATGATGGGTTGAGATGTCGGAGAGTGACACTCAGCTGGTATGTTCTATGTTGCATTGGGAACTGGCTTTGCACTTAACTAGAAAAAAGCGCAAGCCTCAAGGAGAAAAGTGAAAGGTGATTGAGTCAGATGATGGGTCAGAGACAGACAAGGGAAATGGGAGTGGAATGTCAGCAGGGATGCCAATGGTACAGAAGAAGGTAAAATCTTTGCCTTGACATTCCAAGGAGTGCTCACATTCTACATAGCATTTGCGTACATCAAAAGGCAAGCATAAATGATCTCAGCATCCACAAAAAGTGACAGAGAAGACAACATGAAGCCAGCCTGCCATCGCAGAGACATTGAATGGTGAGACAGTGCTGTGGCAGGTTCAAGTGAAAGAAAGCATGGACAACAGATGCACTGGAATGTGTGGGCCTCGCAACAAGGTATTGCAACACTGAACTGGTCCAAAGGCCATTCTCGACCCTAAGAGTGGCAAGTGATGGCTCTTTGTTTGCAAGCACTGTAATGTGTGAGCACATTTTTTCTCGTTGTATGATGCCGACTCGTGCTTGGACTCACTACATTGGATGAAGGGAATGCACGGTCATTCATTAAGTGGACGAATGGAAAGGTGAATGGCCAAAGCCTTTCTTGGGCAACCTGATGACACACATGAATTCAAAGCATGTAGACAATGTCAAAGAGGCAAAGGTTGCCAAGACGATCCCACAAAACAATGACAATCTGAGTCGATCAATCAAGTGCATCTACACTCCAGCCAGTGCACGACTGATGGAGAAGTTCCTTGAGAATGGCTGGCTTAACCCAAAGCATGATCCCACTCGAAAGGGGTTCCTGCACTTGTTCGCAGCATGGCTCCTTGAGGAGAACCTGCCTTTCACAACTGGAGAAGCCCCTGGTCTGCACCGACTTTTCCACTACCTGGGCATCAAATTCATTCTACCAACAGACACCACTGTGTGCAACATTCTGGCATGAATTTTTGCTGATCTGCATGCTGCGCTCATCAAGGAGCTTGCGGTGAGTCCTAACATACATGATAATTATGATATGTTGACATAGCTGACATGCATTGCAGGCTGTGAAGTCAAAGATTTCCTACTCGATGGACACTTAGAGCACCCCACAAATGGTCTTTACATTTGCTGGCACCATTGCGAACTTCATTGATGATGACTGGAAGCTTGTGGAGCATTTTCTGGATCTTCGTCATCTAGGAGATAATGAGCATGAAGGTGTGGAGGCCACAAAAGCATTTGTCAACTCAGCCTCAAAACGAGGAAGCCTGAACAAAATAAGTGACTTTGTGATCATCTTTGTGACCAGGGTACTGATAGCATAATCATGCCATCACTTTATAGTGCTGACCATGGACAATGCGAGCATCAATGATGTGCTTGCACGAACACTTGGGCCAATCCTCATGGAATGCTATGGTATTCCATTCAATGCAACCAATGGTCAAATCTGGTGCCTTGCACACATCGTCAATCTGGTTGTTCAGAAGATCTTGAGTGCTCTCGGTGAAGCCAAGGATCCAGACGAAGATGATTATTACCTGCTGTACAAGTTCCTCTCATTCCATTACAGGCCTGATGTGGATGAAGACCTTAAAAAGCTTGAAAAGGAAGAGACAGTGAAGGCTGATGATATGGCTGCTGCAGAGAATTTGGTAGAGGGTCAGATAGATGAACCAGTTGAAGGCGAGCTCATGGCTGTACAGAAGGTGTGAACAGCAGTTGGTTTATTCATCTCATGCTCATCATACGTGCCAATCAGCTGTGCATATTTGTCTGAAAGATCATTAGCTCACCGCAGCATCACTCATCTTTCTGCAAGCTTGCCAAGGAGCACTATAGCAGTCAATATGCTCAAGATGGTGGAAGGGAACTGAGTACCCTGATGCCTATCTGAGATGTGCCAACACGCTGGAATTGCACTCATGCCATGATAGAACATGTGTTACTGTTGAAGAAGGTCAGTCTATGCTCTTACATATGTTATATGCTGCGCTGATTGTTGATGACAGGCAATTAATGGCTGGGTAGCAGCACGAGAAAAGCTAGAAGCTCTGACACTGACACCGTCAGATTGGAACCTGTTACAGCAGCTATGTGAAATCATTGGGGTTCGTTTTCACTATGTTTTCTGCTATTTAATGAGCTTATGCCTTCTTATAGGCATTCACAGTTGTCACTCGACATATGTTCCTTGCGGACACGCCAACGTTGCCATGGGTGTTGCCAATGTACCACCACATGCAAGGAACACTAGAGCGGGCCATTGAAATGACAACGCTACCATCCCTTAAGCATGCCACTACTGCAGGCTTGTCTAAGCTCAACATATACTATGTGAAGGTGCTCGACTGCCAACACAATGTTGTTGCAACTGGTGAGTTTGTTAACTTTCCCGGCCAGCCCGCTGCGTGGCCAGAAATTCAGGAGTCACCCACTCTCTAGAAGATGGCTCCATGGGGCCAAACTGATGGCCCATCCCATTGTAGCCATGCTCTATTATATACATGCACGCTACTATTCTCCCACGCTGGTGACACAGGTCGCACTGGGGCCTCTTGCATCTGTGCTCCGCACCCAGATTCCAACAGAGTTATCATAGTACTTCTTTATGGTGCATTCCTTATTGACAGCTGTAAATAGTGTGCCATTCATCACTCCATCAAGCATGGTTTGCAAGGCTTAGAGCAGATTGCAAGGAACATGCCTGGACTCTTTTCGAATATGTCTTTCAACAGTATAAGAAGACTGGTCCGAAGGTTGTAGATAAGCCACAGGTGACATTGCAACTGTCACACAGACATTTCTGGACTCTCTTACATCTGACGTTGACTTTGCTGCTGATACTCCTATCATAGCTGAGTCAGAGCTTGAGAGATGGAAGCGTGGAGTAGGGGGGAAAAGGTGATCCATATGCACCTCTTGTCTGGTGGAAGGTAATCCTTATTTTGAGAGTGTTCAAAGTCTCTTTCTTATGTCAATTAATGTACAGGCTCATGAACATGAATTTCCTGTCATTTCTCATATGGCAAGAGATTTTCTTGCCATTTCTGGTGCAAGTGTTGCAGTCGAACACTTGTTTTCTGCCAGTCGTCATGTGTGTGCTGATGCACGCAGCTCCTTGAAGGCCTCAACAATTACAGAAGCAACATGTGTAAAGCAATGGATTCATCAGGGCCTGTTTACTGTTGAATAGAACTTTTTGTCAAAAGACGTGACAAAAAACCATATAAACCATATATAAACCATATATACTATATATATACATCTATTTACTATATACCATTTATTTACACCTCGGGAGTGTAAATAAAATAAATGGTTGGAGCCTTAGCCAATAGTATTTCGTCATGTAGCTGTCGGTACCATCTGCCGGTGGTACCAACGGCTACATTGCGAGATACAGCCAATCGCGAAGATTACAAGAAACATTCGTAGCTTAGAGAAGAGGACCTGTGCGTGCTTTGCCTTTCTTTGCTTGCTGGGAGGTCATTTTTTTGCAGCATATCGGCGAGCTTTATACAATGACAGGATCGCGCGCAGCAGACTGTATGACTCTGAGCCTTCGATCGATCGACGCCTCCATCTCGGTCCCGACCAAGTAAGCTCCAGGCTGATTGATGCCGCGTAGAGTTCACGCAAAGGAAGGACGTTGCTTGCATATATGTAGCACGAAACAATTCACATGATTACATTCAACGAGACGCTTGATCGATGAAGAACAAGACGCATGACCATCAATATCTTAATGAGCTCTCAATGTCCTCGCAGACGTTCTGAGACAGCAATTTTGCCACCATACGCGAAGATTCAACGGTGGCACACTCTGACTCGAGCGCAGCCATGTGATGCCCGCGCACCGCGCATCCCGCAGCTCTTGACTCAGGCGCATGTTCGCAACTTCCTATGGTGGTATGGTCCGGCATTGCGGATTGACCTTACTCATGCTACCGGCATCGTTTATATGATATATAAGATGGTGCCGGTGATAACGACTGTTTCGGATCGCAGGGTATGGATCAGCGCCCGTAGTACAAGCTGAGGTGCGTAGTATACGAGCCGAATGGTGCCCTGCGCCGCAGCCACGCTGGAGCTTCGTGAATCATCAGAGCTGCACAACTCGGTGACTCGTAGCTCGTGGTCGCAGTGGTACCGAGAACATGTCGGCTCCAGATAGTGACTCACGAGGCGCTGAAAGGACCGTATGGTAGCGGATGCGTCCGCGGAGAATGAGTCGTTGCCCATGGACATGGGTTAGGACCTTTCACGTGACGGGACGAGAAACCCTAACAGGCATGCGATGATGCGAAGCAGTTCGAGCGAGTCATTGAAGTGCGAACGTTGAAATTTTGAAACTTGCGAACCAATAATTGAACGCGTGAACCCATTTGTTACATAAAGTGGGTTCTATGCTGTGATTAATTACAGCCAAGTAATCCTAGGGAGTTTCTACTTAGCAAATCGCTCAAGCGCCCAATATTCATGCATCATGTCTCGACGAACTCACAGAATGAACTTTGAGACAATGGTTCTCATCAATAAGTGTATCCGTAGAACGGTACCAGTTCTGCAGAAATTCTTAGCCAGGTCATTGAAACGTTCCAAGTTCTCACAAAGCTATTGTTCAAAGTTCAAAGGAAGGGCGGGAAGCTTCGACATATTGGCACCAATACTACTCAGTATCATGTGTATCGTCGCGGGGAACCGTGATGACACAGGACTCAGAGCGAGCATTCCATTCAGCGGACGAGCGATATATCTGCACTACATTTCCATCAACGGAGAACAGTCGCTAACTCATAATCTTCACCTTCTGCACGTGCGCGGATACCGTCAGAGACGCCTTCGATCTATGTTGTTGTTCCGTATGGTCGTAAGAACGCGAACGCAGTTATTAAAATATGTTTTCATACCACATCAATACACGCTGGGAGTGTCATCGACAAGATCTCCGCGCTTGTATACGCTCGGGGTGTCGTCCACAAGGTCATCGCGCCTGTATATTTCAGGAGTGTCATCAACAAGGTCGCTCCGCCTATAGATCTCGGGAGTGTCGTCGATGAGGTCCTCGCGTTTTGTCGCTAAGCAAATGATGAGTGCTGATGCATTCTCCATCTACATCCACATACCACGCTTATAGATCTCAGGTGTGTCGTCGACGAGACCCTCACGCTTGTAAATCTCGGGAGTATCATCAGTAAGGTCCTCGCGTTTGTAGAACTCCGGAGTATCATCGACCAGGTCGCCACGTTTGTAGACCTCTGGAGTGTCATCGACGAGGCCCTCGCGCTTGTAGATATCTGGAGTGTCATCGACGAGGCCCTCGCGCTTGTAGATATCTGGAGTGTCATCGACAAGGTCACCACGCTTCAAAGCTACGTTAATAAGGATCCATTGTGTTAGCTGGGTTTGAGTGGGAAGAATGACCGCATCTTACTAAATCCTCGAGTACCACTAGTCGGCAGCGCATGTACCGCTAGTGCGACGAGGGGCGCAAGAGCGATGAGCTTCATGCTGAGGGCAACGAATTTCATGGTGGCTCGGATCTCTGGGAGTGCCTACAAGGTGTCGAGGCGACCACGAACCTTTGCAGCGTTTTATATTGCGAACCCCTTAGCAGCATGCGTGACCCGATGACTTTCTGTAGCTGAGTTCGAATCCGTTATTGGTTTTTTTGGCAAAACGTGCCGCAATGGCTCATCAGAGTGATTATTCGCCGTGCATGATGAAGGTATCTTTTGACTCTAGTTGTTCCAGACGTCGGTGGGCCATAAGGCGGTGATGCACATGCCACTTCCATCAACACAACGGTAAAAAGACGTCCCTAAGTAATGGTAGCAGCATACCGAAGTTAGGCTACTGGGCAGCGGAGCAGGAGCGAAGCACGTACCGTACGAAGTTACCGGTATGTCTGGCCAGCCTACTCCTTCGGCCAGCGATATTGCGTCTTGCACCCCAAAAGTGATGCCACAACATCGCGCACCTTGCAGCACGGCCAATCATGAGTGAAAGGACAACGCTTTCTCATGAGTGTCAATATTGACGCCGCCATCATGCACTGAAGCTTTGAGGCCCGGTCACCTGACATGCTCCGATCAGCGCAACTGTCAATGTCGGGCTCCGGTGTCAACTCCACTGTCAAATTCATATTGGGAGGCTCTAGCCGATATATATTGCTATATACGACTTCCGATATTCAAGTGGTAACAACGTTGTTTTACCCCAAAGCCCATCGAAGACGAGCCTGAGTTACTGACACTTTAAGGATCCCGGTTATGATCATATTGTGAAGAATGAGTTAATGACCGGCAACGTGAAGGAGACTGCTGGCTATTAACAGTGTGAGTGGTCTGATTCTCCTTCCTGATAGGGAATCGTCAACGTCTCAATAGGATCTTGCCATAACGTTACTTCTGATACTATCACGATTTTGGACATACTCGGGTCCGCTGGGCTTGAACAGAACGTCCAACTACGGCTCCTTGCGCATGGCGATGTCGCGATGGCCTTTGGAGGAACAACGAATGCGGCATTTGGCATGCTTTGTATCGAATTATTTCACATTACTGGTGGGAACGAGCCGTTCGGGTCCAGACGCAGTACGTACTCGAAAATAGGGTGATCAAGTCTTGATCCAGGGTATCGAGGCTCTGATGGGAAAATGCATCTTCATTCTCAAGGATTCAGCACTGTTCTGATCCCATCAGAAAAACGGATTGGCCGCTAATTCGACAATAGGTGCAACGCGCACATGTACAGGTCGGGTGTAAGTGGCTCTTTGTAATAGGTTCTTATTCTTGGCCCCCCCTACACCGATGCTCTCGTGATTATCTAGGTCAGCTGCGGTCCGACCGGAGGTTATCACGCCTTTTGGAACAATTGATGCAAAAAAGCAGGTGATCCTGCACTGTGAAACATACAGCGGGCCTGCCTCGTGTCTGCGTTCAACCTCGATTGACTTGTTCTCTGCAGCTCCCTATTGACACGCTCCTACACAATGTCGAAGATCTTCAGCACGTACTCCCCAATTTCTCAGAACAACGATCGCAATGGCTCGTCCGACAAATTGCTTGAAGATTCGCATGTTGCTGAGACCGCTCCTCGAATGGTAGCGAGCCATTCGACATGGCATCGTTACTCGTCATGGATGTTTTTGGGCTGCATCCTTATCGTGAATACCATCGTTGTGCTAGCTTACATGCTCTCCAGGCCTGAGTGCACGCCGCGAGATCACTCATTGTCGATGTTGTACTGTGAGCTGATCTTGCTGCCTGCGTATGTCGGTTATCATACAGCTTTCTCATTGTGGTGAGGTTTCCATCAGCGCCAGCTAATCTCTCTGTCGAGTATGAACTTGTGCAGTTCAACGGCACCGTCGGCCTCAAATCTCCCTACTCTGGTACACCGTCTCCTGAGATAGACGCAGCTTGGGATAGGATCACTACCCATGATGCCTGTACGCAGCATCTTTCATAATCGTGCGCACATCTTCACTGAAATATCATCCATATTTCTAGTGCATGTAGTGCGCCTTCCTGCTGACTATTATGAGCGGATGAACATGCCTGGAAGGCCATCGAACGTACGCTTTCACGAAGAGGATGGTGGCGGCTACTTTGGAACGATGGACATGTTCCACGTCCTGCATTGCCTTGTAAGCCTGTCAGTCTCTATTAATAACATGGAGCGCGCTGAGTGACCTGTATCTTTCAGAATCTTATCCGAAAATACACATATTTGGAGTACTATCCGAAGGTCCAAGAGACTCAGCGGACAAGGCCGTCGTTCTTTCGAGAACATCTCGGTATTCAGCTTCTCCCAGATGCTCCGCGTTCAGCATGCTAAGTATATTCCTAGATCACTGCTTGGAGACTCTGCGACAGCACATCATGTGCGCCAGCGATATCGCGGTCATCACCTACGACTGGATCGAAGACTTCGACAAGCCCTTTCCGAACTTCAACATAGTCCATCAATGCCGCAACTTTGAGAAGATTCTGGAGTGGACAGAGGAAAATACACTCCAGATTGATCATTCTCATGTGGTTCGTATCGGGGATGAGGTGGACCTTCCGGAGAGCGCTGTTGACTTGGATGGCGTTCTGAATATCAGGAAGAATGCTACATTGGTATAGTTTGTCGGCGACGTATTGGTTCTTTTGCCATTGTTGAGCATGTATGTTTGGACAGAAGACGAATTGCATGAGAATATGGTATGTCAGCCGGTGTGCACGATCGTACCAAAAGGAACAACCGTCAAGCATGTCAAATGACCGGCCTCTGTCCAAGAAATGGCTCATCAGAAATATGATTTGACACTTCTTCCATTTCAAATTGCCACCCTGTCATTTGATCCATTAGGAATGAGTCAGGGTCACCTATTCTAATTTCTGAGCCCCGAAAGAAGCAAGTGTTATAAGGGGAAAGCAAACGAACAAGGTCGAATGCGTCAAGCTGATCAACAATTGCATATGAACGATGGAGACCAACTGACAGTGCCGACCAGGAAGTATACACGTGTATTCAATTCAATCATAACCAATAGCGTTGTCTGTCAGCCCTTCATCATCATTGACCGTGAGGCACGACTCAAGCGACCGGCCAGTGGGTCCTGCACTAGGCGAACTGTCTGTATCGTTAGCATTCAATGCCTTATCCTCAAGGTCAGTGTATATGTTCCATACAAGGATCTTCTAGCAGGTACTACAGCTCAAAGAGCAGATGAAAAGGCAGAACAGAAAGATGTTCATTCTTTGCGTTCAGTCGAGAGCAATTCTCGTCGTGTTCGTGTCATACATCATCTGTATGGACCAACACATAGTCAATCAAAGACTTCATGGCCTCGCACGATGAGATCCTCACTGATAGATATCACACTTTGGCGCCATGAATGTGTTCAATGAGCACGAGTAACCACTCTCCCGACTATCTGGTGGCAGAAGACGTCAAAGATGAGCTGAGACGTGGGTTGACGACGCACATGCTTGACGGACAACCGCGGAACTGCCAATTCGATGATTATCGGAAGTAAGTCGCGCATTGTTACGGATTCTATAGGTGTGGTTGACGTTACTCCATATGTCTGAAATCAAGAACCAATGTAACACCTTGAAAGGACAAAGAGGAAATGGAATCCTCGCGCTCCGATAGAAACAATATGTTTCGACCACGAAACACTTTTCACCCTCAGCGGAAGCTACGTTCTTAGGGGCGTGGTAAAATTCAATCCATGCGATAGTACAACATGCTGAGCATCGTATGCTGCATATCATTGCTGCCCCAATCACCTCAGTTCTCTACATTATACATACATTCGCTACGAATGTCATCTGCAAGGCCTACTATTGTCACACTTATTCGGAAAGATCACATGAGACATACCGTTGAAATACTCTCCGAGCTTGTAGGCGATGAGAAGTTGAGTCGTCAATCATTCTTCACCAAACCTGCAAGGATACGAAGGGTCACGGCCCACATGTACGATGATAAGGAAGACTCCCGCATACCGTCATGGTAGGGATAGAGGAGTTCCGGAGATGAGACTGTTCACATGATCGCGAGGTAGTATCCGAGTCAAAGACCGTCAGTCAGAGTTGGACACGAAGCAACGCGGCTGTATCAATCTCACCAATCGAGTCCCTGGAGGCTGTTCAATACAAGCAATTAGCTCAGCTAACGTCATTTTGCGATGGATTCATTGTCACCGACCTTTTGTGAAGGGTTGAACATCAGCGCGACCTAGAGCGCCAGGCATTGGTCAGCAAGCCAATACGCAGACACTGTCTGGAGTGTCCTCACCGCCATCGAACAGTGCAGGAGCGGCAAAGACTAAATTGACGAGCACTACGACGGAGAGCAAGGGTGCGAAACACGTCTGCATGGTGGGGATACGATTTGACACAGGATCTCCGAGCAGCTGTTCAATGAGCCTGGTGACTGCAGGAAACGTTTCCGACTATTTCAATGGTTTTCAGGGGGCCAGTCGGATATATCCAATGAGAGCTATTCGTCCCGATTTCGTCGTAGAGACGCAGGTCCACCTACGAAGGCCGCAAACAAGTGTCAGCACCAGTCAGCGCCAGTCGTTCACCAGACATGCTTCATGTTCCATCACCTCGTGGCGAGCCTCGGCGGCAAAAGAGAGATCCAGAAATCCTCTTAGAACTCTGAGAACGCAATGTGACCTCTCCGGCTGACCTACACGCATGTCTCTGCTACTAATCCGAGAATGTTGCAGTAACCTTGACAGGCAATTCAATTGGCGGCCAACTTATCTTCAGCGCCACAAGAAGCTTGGTCGATGTCCTCGGGGTTTCGGACTTTCACATGCCAGCTCGGCGGGTTACTCCTTTGCAGGCTCAATTTCCAGAATAATATGCTTGATAGAATAATCTTCGGCCTGAAGACACCGTCACGGCAGTTGATCAGCGGCAAAGGACATCCTGCTCGTCCATGCCTGAATAGCAGTAGTTGAGTCAACCATAGTGCGCATTGCATCCGACTACGAGGGCGGACCGAAATGTTTCTGCCGAATTCGTTGGCGCCGAGCTGACCCGAACATTGTCTTATTTTTGGCAGGCGGATTGCGCATCGCACTGAGTACAGGTTAATAATGAAGCTGAAGATAAACAACACAATTTCGAAGTTAGAACGGGAACGGACAAGCCTCTATAAAGGAGGTGTCATAGAAACGCATCGAGGTGTATGGTCGTTCTCGTCATCTCCACCGAAAGGCCTATGCTGTGGAACATAGCACCATTCCTATCATGAACCCATCAGTTCACGGCTCCACATCGACGAAAGGAGATATAAATGACGCTCACATCGACACCGCAAGCCGGATGACACCCCATCCACGTCGGCCAATCTAACCACTCAACGAGCCAGTCGACATCATCCTTCCACTTCTTTAGCAGGCCTGCCGCGACGTCGACGCTTTGCTGCTCTACATCGAAAGCGTCTCTCCACGCGGAAGTTAGCACCCTGCAGATCTCGTGCAGGACCACGTCTACGGCCCGAAACAGCACATGCTCCTGCTTTGTAAACCGCGCGGCAGGGAGATGTGCCGTGAACCTGGTCGCGCAACCGTGCGCAATCTCCGCGAACCAGTCAGGCTCGCCGACGCCCGTACGCGGCATGTACGGCAGCAGCGAGGTGATCAGCTGTTGACGGATGTCTGCGGTGTGGGCCGACACATTAGTGGTCGGCTGGTGCAGCAAATACCGCAAGTATGGCAGCCTGTCGGAGAAGCGATCTTCAATGACTCGCGCGAGGCCCTGCCAGTCCAGTCCACTCCCCGCCGTCGAAACCCGCGCAAACACGTCCGCGGCGTCCGCTTGCACCGTCGCTATGTCCATTGCAGAGATGTTGAGCAATCGATACTGCCGCCGCGTGAGCGAGCGGCGCGCCTTGGCTAGCGATGTGAGCGCAGGATCGAAGAAGGATATCAAGCCCGACGGGTCGACGCGCACACGTAGCTCGCCAGGAAAGTCGTTATGCCACGCGCCGGCATGCCCGACCTCGTGCATAACGGAATTAGGAAAGCTGCCTTTCCATCCAGGTGGGGGAGTGGGGGAACCACCGCCAGGGCCGCCCGGTCCTCTGGGACTGCCAGGCCGATCTGGTGGACCGCCTGGCCCGTGTTCCGGACTTTCTGGCAGCGGCAGACCCTGAAGTCGGTCCCGCGATGTGAGATATTGATCTTTCCTTGGACCACCTCGAGGGCCACCGATCGATCCTCCACCTACGACGTTGACCGCAGAGACGAGTTCCAGCCCTTGCGAGAAATTGCAGTACATGATTTCACTAAAGGTCGCTTAGTCTATAATTGAACACGAATGTCGAAAGATGCCAACACTCACAAATCTGCCTCCATCCTGACGTATCCGTCGATTCCGTATTGCGCGCCCCACGTGCAGGCGTCGGTTATCAGTTGCCTTTCACCACTCCTTCCTCCCGCTCCACCCCTTATTTCTCCCCAAACGAGTAATTCTTGCGTGTCTACGACTCCAGAAACCTTGTTTCCACTGCTGCCGTCAAAATAGACCAGCTTCAGTTCACGGGTCGTACTGAAGGTGAACAACGTGCTATCGTTTCCGCGCCCTGCGAAAAACATAGAATGCTCCGGGTCGAATGCGATCCAGTCCATCTCAGGGAGAACATCACTGCCCCTGCCGTGATAGAGGAGTGTCCCAGGAGGTATGCTGGCAGGAACAATTGCATGCCCTGAATCGCGCCGATGTGAATTTGGTGGATGTTCCAGCGGAACAGAGCTTACCGTTGGGGTATATGGCATTGGCAGCCGTTTGCATCAGTGACGCTAAGGCTTGAAAGATGAAATTGCCAGTCGCATCCTGGCTTAGAGGTTCATCCCACGGCAGGGACACACGCGTCTCTGCCTGAGCGGTGAGCGGATACTGATCTGAAGCATACGCTGCTGCCACAGCATTGGCGGCAGCAATGCGCACTGCTAAAGCAGTGAGCCAGTTCATGAGAGCTTGGAGGAATGGAGAGCGATAGAGGATACATCTCACTGATGCGCAGCAGGACGGTGGTAATAGAGGGCAAGTCCGTGCTACACGTGTTACGGTGAGGCACGCGGTCACGTGCGATACGCGTCAAGACCTCCGGCACGTTCCGGCCGCCAAGACAGTGGCAACATCCAACGGAGACATTTCAAAGGGCTGGATCCATTGCAAGCAATATGTTTCGAAAAGCGAAACAAGGGCCACCGCTCCGTCCTGACGATGTAGGCATGTTCTCTGTCGGTTTCGCGGTTCAGGAATGTCGAGCAGTGCCTCCAGGGCCGGATATCCCAGAAGAAACTGCCAGTGCCGCGAATCAGCCACGCGGAAACTGCGCGTCCTATACGCAACTGTCGCGGTCACGTGGGCGCGCAAGGTTTGATATAGGCGACGACTTGCTCCCGACCTGCTCCCGATTGTCGTCGTCCCCCCCCGGCAGCCTCGTCGGTGCATTCTGCTCCCTGTCTATCACATCTACGCCTGACGGCATTGACGAAACGATGCCGAAGCATGCGCTAGATGCCGAGAATGCTTCCGTGACCTCGACGCCACAGCCCAAGCGCCCGCGACCTCACACGAGCAGCCCCGAGCGAGATCTACCAACCATATCTTCGCCACTGAGCGCACGCTCCTTAAGCAGCACTCTGTGGACATATCCAACACCGTCGGACTCACCATCGAATCCGTTCAGTATGAAACGCTCGCTCGTCGCGCTCACCCTCCCCCAGCCGACCCGTTTTAGCCAACATCTTGCCCTGCGCTTTCAGCTAGTGTATGATGGCCCTAGAAGTAAGGCAGATAGGACGCTGAAGAACCAGCTTCACAATGTCTTTCGTATCGTCCAGGTCCCGAAGAGCTACACTCTGCGCCACATCCACCATCTCGTATTGTTCCTCTTCGCAACTGATACGTGCTTGGATGCACCGTTGACATCCAAGGCACCGACGAAGCGGCATCGGAGCAAGCGACTTATTGACATGATGAGGGTTGCGGGCGAGGGGCTTGCGGGGAAGGGAGCACGGCGAGAACCAGCATCGGGTATATGGCGGGGAAGATCTGCTACGCCGGATTATTCACTTACCTTACGCCCGGCCGTCAGTTCTGCCGTCCCGGACGGCTGGATCGGACACGTGTTCGAGGTGCGCAGCGGTATTCAGTTCTCTGGCTCGAATGAGCGACCCAAGATCAAGCCGAACACCGGACGGGTCCGCAAACGGGCGTCGAGCGTACGAGAACGAATACTGTTCCGAGACCTATACGATCAAGAGTACGCTGCGCTGTATCCAGAGGAAAGCTTTGCTTCCTCGAGTGCCAGCAGCGATCTGGATGTTGTGTCGAGCGTGGACGAGACCGGGTTCGAAGATGACGCCTGCGGGACTGCGGGATGGATGTGGGAAGCAGAAGACGACTACACTCTAGAAAAAGTGTGGTGCGGTTCCGTCCAGCTTGGACTGCAGGAAGGCATCATATACGTACGTCGTCTCTCGTAGCCACTCGTCGTCGCACTGTGTTGACATGCATCCGTAGCGCCACCTACCAGGTATCTCAGTACAGATCACCATCAACAGGACGAATGTTCCAGTGCGTAGAGGACGGGGCAACCAGCCTTATGTTTTCAAGTGGCGCGGCAGCTCGCGAGGCGCGATCCGCATAGCACATGTGGACGCACGTAGAATGACATCGGAGGAAAGCAAGGAAAGCAACGGCAACTTGGTATACCTCACGAGCGAAGCGTTCGAGGACGAAGTGGAGAACGAGGAGGAACGTCTCCAGAAGTGGAACGACCCCAACGCATTCGCCCGCTTCCTGGAGCGCGAGTCGGTGCGGGAGATCGCGTCTCGGAAATCCTCTGCCGCGCCTGCGCTAGGATTGGAGGACTCACCCATGCTCCCGGAACAGCTCGAGACGACTATGTCCCCCTTTTCTCCATCATCACCGTTGATTTCGAGTGAGGCTACGTTGCCCCAGCTCTCTTTCGCCTCTTCCGCCTCGCAGTCGGACTACTCGTCTGTGTCGTCATACCCATCCCGCCACTCCTCCTCCCTCTCTCTTTCAGACTTTTTCCTGGCGTCGCTGCCGGAGGTCACGCCTGCCCCGGGAAATCCTGTGATCGCGCGTCGTGTGGCGCAGCAGCGTCTTCATTTCGAGCGGCTCGCGAAGGATGGACTTCGACCCATGTTGATCAACGGGCGGCGTATCAAGGACGATGACAGCAATAACAATGACGATGCCGACAACAAGGATGAGAAGGGAGTCTCTGATCTCAAGCTGCTTAGAAAGTCGCCGGGCATTGTGAGAAATGACGAGGAAGGAGAGGAAGCCAAGGATTGTAGCCCACTCAAGAGGGGTGCGAGATACCTGAAACGGGGACGAATTGAGAATCGGAACCTGGGCTCTGAGCAAGAAATATGAGATACCCGAGGATCTATTGTACTATGGAATAGGAAATATGTTTTGGATAGGATCATCATTGTACTACGAAACAGGTATAGGCGCTTATACATGGAAGGTTGCGAAACACGTCGCAGCCGGCTCTACATATTGCAGCGAGCTTGAGTCTGTCACACCGAATGCATCGCATGCGATATGCGCTGTGTCTATTCGAGGACAAGTGGATACAAATACATGTTACCGGCTTCCGGGCGGTAGTACTTCGTTCGAGTCATCGTCGTCTGCAGCCATCATATACTGTATGATGAGATGTAGTATCAGTTTCTTCTCGTAGCAGTCTAGCTTCTGCGCTCTATCTGCACTTCTGGACGTCCCGAAGAGTCACACATGGATCTCCATCTCAAGCTTCTCGCCTCCCGCGCACAACAGGCACCACCATGATTGAATCCATTCAAGTAATACTAAGAGTCTAGGAAATCCTGGTGCGGCAAGGGTGTTAGCCAGCCGGCACCTTCCCATCTCATGGGCGCAAAGGGAGTGAGAGGCTGATGAGGCCACAAACGAATGGGGCCTATGGTACTACAGGTGCATAGTTATATGCTTTTCCACCCTTCCGTACTTGCCCGCTCCGTTTCCAGGTACCGCCCTTGTCACGGTTTTTCCACGCCACAAGTCTCAAGCGCCCACGGACTATTATTTATCCACCTAGTTACCATATATAGAAGATACCACTACGCCTCCACGTGTATATCTTAGTATACCCACGCCACTCGGACATCCCTCAGACATGTACCAGTCACATGACCCTACGTCATAGTGACATCATAAGCCTGGACTCCATAGACACTCCTAGACTTAGACGAACTCCACTAGGCCTGAGCACACCATAATGATGTATTATTAGTAACCTAGAGTATGCAGGGTCCTACACCCAGTATCAGGGGTCTCGACCCTCATGTATATATACCCGCTCGAGCTGAGGCCTACCCCTCAGTTTCGAGTTGGTCTTTACTCCTCCACTTAAGCTAAAGAACCCTGACGGGTTAGGCGAGAGTAGACCCAGGAGTTCCTGAGATCCTTCACATAACTCGAAACTGCTCTCTTTAGTCTGTGGGCACCGGTCGACACCTCGGACTGTTATCTCTCTGTCGATCAACTTCATCCTCATCGTGCCTAGTCAGGGCTTCTTCCCACTTTCCTCAGGCTTAGCTGCGCCCTGCTGAACCTCTTCGGTGAAGTGAATACGCGGATTGTTAGTCAGGATACATAGGCCCTAAACCAGCCTCCTGCGAAAGTGGGCGACATACTACAGTCCCAAACCTTGCCGTGACCCCAGGCGTAAGGGGACTCTCTGCACAAATCTAGTGGTTAAAACCGCATTAGGGCTGCCAAGAAGGGCCAGGAGTGCCTGACGACGACAGCACCTCTAGGGGAGAGGGACGCAGTACTTCTTAAAAGGGTACATATATCAAGTACGCCGCAGCAACGAGGCAGCTCCTGTATTGGACTGACCAGCGGGGTAATCTGACGTTCGGGCTGCTAAGTCCATATAAACTATCCTCGGCCTAGCTGCCATGCTATCGGAGGATTTATCCTCTAACGTCGCCATCCTAGCCACCAGGTCTAGGGGTAGCAGATGTAACAACCGCAGACAAGGAAGAACTTGCAGGAGGTCGGGACACCTTTGAAAGAAACCCTAAAGCTGTAAATCAGCAACACTTCTGGACCACTTCGGCAAAACCTGCATAACCTCGAGTAGCGAGGGAATAAACCTGCTTGCTCAGTGCTAAAGAGGCACCAGACGTGTATTCAACCCCTGCGCAGTTCTGACTTACTTAGGGGTTTAGTTACCAATACATACGTAGACAAATAGTCATTTGGCATGGGACGAACTCTCGGAAAGCTCTGCTGGAACGGCAGGTGGACCAAGGTTACATCCCTTCAGAGGTAGTTGGACACTGGTGGTGAAATAATCAAAGACCACAAAGACCCCTCTGTGACTGCGAACCGCGCCACTCAGGACTCCATAGTAACTAGACCTACTAGGAGTAGCAGGACTCTAAAGCTGCATCTGGGTCATTACAAGGCCCTGGAGAAGAACAGCTCGACAAGCACGTGAGTAGATCCCGACATCGAATGCAAAGGTTCTTGTTGGAAGGATATACATCTATATACACCATATCTCCAGGACCAGTAGAGTGGGATCAAGTTTACGAGCATATCAGCATCGTATTTCGGGCCGACTTTATCTATCAACCTCACGTCGCCCAAGCCCGCTTCCTCCTATACCGCTACCAGGTCATCATCGACTACTACGAAAGGCTCGAATACCAGCCACATCGTATAGTTCGAGAAACTCCTCGACAACTACAGTCAGTAGAAGACGATCAGGAGTTATACCATCTCCTGTTTGACGAGGAATACGGTATTTCTTCCAGCGACGAAGAAGAACCTTTCTGAACAGGTCGCCAAAACCCCGACCAGGTACCAACACCGAAAATGGCCGAAATCGCACAATCTGAACATTTCGTAGAAGGACATCTGAATCCTGAAGGCCCGGAACCCAGGGCACCCACTCCATCGTCCTTCAATGACACCAACATCCTTGCTCCCACTCCCCAATACTTTATGACACCAGCAATGCTAGAAGCGATTCCCAGGAGAAGGGGGCCTTCAGCAAGGCTGGTAGAGGAATTCACCACCCTGTATCCCAATGAGCAAAGAACAGGGAGGCGCTTCCATCAATGGGAGTACGATATCCGGGCTCATGACCACTCTGAAGAAGATCGAGCTCGGTACTGGTCACAACCAGTAGATGTGGTAGCAAGGCACGGAGGGGCAGCAAGGGGGCAGGACTACATCTGGTCAAGCCACACCTCGGGAACCCCACCAGGGTACGAGCGATACAGGCTCCCCGATAATAGGCAAAGCTATTACTTGGCACGACCTGGCCTCCCCCCACCCATGGAGGAAACCCCCGGATTCTGGACCCAACCTGTTGACATGCGGCGTGCTTACAAACACCTACAAAATGACTACAACCGACTGCGCAGTCGACTTGACGAGGCACGGAGGGAGGTAGCCGAAGCATGAGAAGGGCATCTGGCTGTGGAAGCAATCCGGAATCATCTCATGAGACAAGTAAATGAGACGACCAGGGATAAAAATGCCATAGCAATAGAGCGCGGTAACCAGATCTCCAAGCTAGAAACAGAGCTGGAAGCCTTTAAGAAGGCGCTCCGATCAAGTGAAGAGAGGGTCAAGGGTCTAGAAGGAATCAACAAGACCCAAGAAACCTGCATTCACCTGCTAGAAGCCATGATGCAGCCACCACCCACTTCCCCCATTCGATCACCTAAGAAACTGGTCGATAAAGGCAAGAGGAGACAGGATCCTGACCAGCAGGATATTCGGGATTGGGTAAAAGGAGTCAGCAGAACCGCCGGCCCTAGTGGGCTCAAGCCGGCACACCAGGCAAACTCTGAGCAGCCGCCCCCTAGGGTGCAGACGCCCCTAATGTCCCCGGCACACTCCTACAAGGGAGACCAAGATGACGAGTTGGCGGGAGCCCTTTACGCATTCCCTTCAGAGCAACCGGTCCCACCTCCAGATCGAGATTATCGCTCTGCGGCTCCGCCACCGGCATCCTCGGACGAAGTCCACAGAAAATCGTTCCGAGGTCCAAAGGTTAACCTCCCGGAGCCATTCGACGGTACCAAAACCAAGGCAAAGGCATGGCTTGTTGATGTAATGAACTACATCATCATGAAACCCAGCGAGTTTGAAGACGAACAAAGTAAAATTCGCTGGGCAACGTCTTATATTCGTGGGCCACAGATCGATCATTGGAAGGCCTTCCTACTAGAAAGAATGATGGGAGGACCCCCGGTCTACGCCACGCTCCAGGATTTCATCACGGACTTCAAGAAGATTTACTACCCCGCAAATCCGGAGCTGGAAGGTCAACGAATGCTGCGAAACATGCAGCAATGGTACAAGCCTTGGGAGGAATTCGAAGCTGAATAGGAACATTGGGTCAAGGTCTCGGGGTACAAGGATGAGCAGCTGCTGCTCCAATTGCTCAGGACAGCCATGAGAAAAGAACTCTGCAATAGAGTGTGGTCATCCGAAGGTATTAGCCGGGATGTCAACAGCTACAGCCTGTGGAAACAGGTCGCAGCCCGGTTAGACCTTCAACAACAGCAGCAGTGGGCTTCCACCTTCGAGGACTGAAAGGGCAAGGGGAAAGCTAAGAACTCAAAAACCCGACAAGTCCACCAAGAGGAAGGTACTACTACGGTAATGACAAGCGCGGTTAGGACAACGGGAAGGGCACCCATCAGAAATGTCGATGAGGCAGGAAAAGCAGTGCCACACAAGGAAACGGTAGGCATCGAAAGTGAACACGACAAGCACTGGAAGTGTGGTACCTGCGGAAAAGAAAGGTCAGAGAAGGGGTAGTGCATGGATATATGGCACACCCATTACTACGACGGAAAGGCACAGTGCTGGTGCAAAAAGGATGCCCAGCCTGCAGCTCGGGCCAGCACGGTAGAAGAAACTGAGGCCGTACGAGCATTCAAGGTGGCCATTGCGGCCAACCTCGCTCTGCTCAACCAGGCGGGTTTTCAATTCGGCAAGGCTTAAGTACGCAAGTCTTGCAGGACTATCAACTCGATCCGAACAATTTCATTTCCCTGACCAGTAACGTGCATTCCTTGGTCATGGAGGCTCAAAAGCCTGAGAAGGGCCCTGGTTTACATGGGTCACCCCTGACCATTAATGGCCATTCCATGGTTACGGAGGTCGCAAGACCTGAGAAGGGTCATGGTTTAGACGGGTCACCAAAAGGTAGGTCCCCGAGGAGAGTCGAGCTGATGGTGGTGGAGGCAATGCCTGAGAAGCACCATCAAGCCATACCTGAAAACACCTCAGAGGGATGTGGGCAGGAGGGTCTAAGCTCAGGAAAGGGAAAAATCAGTACCCCTGATGCAGACGACAGCACACCACCACACCCTAGCGGATCTCGATTTTCTATTCTTTCCTCTATCAACTGTACCACTAGCACTACGTCGGACAATATGGGTACAAGTAGTGGTGCCCAATTTAATGTAACAGTAGTAGGAGTGAAAACGGGGTCTCGGGATGACGGGACCTTAGCAGTGCCTGATCAAGCTCGGCCGGATCAAGAAGCATCGGTGCTTAATTCCGTGAATAGCTCAATTTCTAACATTTCTTCAGTTCAGAACATGGACAGTTTGCAAGTGGAAGCTTTGACATCGGCAAGGCGTACACCGAGGAAGAAGGCACAGAAAATCACTTTGCGTGTATTTTTAAACCACCCGCAAGCCATCGTACCCATCCGCCAAACAGAAGGTGCAGCAGGGTATGATCTGCATTCAGCAGAGGAAGTGGTCATTCCCGAACGCTCCCGTCTCCTCGTAGATACCGGCCTGAAGTTGATGATACCCAGGGATGCTACGGACGCATCGCTTCACGCTCAGGCTTGGCTGTAAAATATGGAATAGATGTAGGAGCCAGAGTAATAGACTCAGACTATTTCAGTCGAGTCAAAATACTCCTAATCAATACCCTCGATACCCCGTTCCAGATTGAGTATGGGGACCGAGTCGCCCAGCTAATCTTGGAACGAAACGATACCCCTATCACCGAAGTCATGACGGAAATAGCAGAAACAGCAAGAGGGACTGCTGGTTTCAGATCGACCGGTACTAAACTGTGTGGACAATTCAACGTCCGTGCAGTACGACGACATCGCCAGATCGATATACCTGTAACAATAGAAGTTGGGGTTAGGAATATACCCGCCAAAGGGACCCCTAACCGAGACGGCGACATGACCCATTATGTATTATTAGATATAGTTATCCAAGGCCATGGAGAGTGTCGATTGTTCAATGTGACTACCTTTTCGGACCACGACATGTTCCTCGGGTTCGATTGGTTAGAAGATCACAACCCTGACATTGACTGGGCTAAACGCACGCTTCGCTTCACGCGTTGTAACTGCGGGGAGCTTAAGTTGGAAGATGGGGATAAGGTGCTGGCATTGGACAGCGACTACATTCGGAAGCAGTTCTCCGAATATGAACACATACGAGCCACCAAGGCCACTGACCTAGCCATCGCTCAAGGCAAGAGTACCAAAGCCAAGAGCATGCAAGAGGTTGTTCCAGAAGAATACTGGGATTATAAGGAAGTCTTCGAGGAAGCTGAATTCGATCAGCTCCCTGAATGCAGAGTATGGGATCACGCCATAGAATTAGTAGACGGCGCGAAACCTTTCTGTGGAAAGGTATATCCAATGAGCGTAAAAGAACAAGAAGCGCTGGATATATTCCTAGAAGAAAACCTTAAGACTGGTCGCATACGACAGTCCAAATCCCCCTGGGGCGCCCCCTTCTTCTTTGTCAAGAAAAAGGATGGCAAGTTACGGCCGGTACAGGACTATAGATGGCTCAATGAAGTGACAAAGAAAAATAAATACCCGCTCCCTCTAATCAATGACTTATTTGACCGGCTTAAGGAAGCCCAGTACTACTCCAAGCTTGACATCCGGTGGGGCTATAATAACATACTGACCAAGGAAAAAGATGAGAAAAAGGCCGCGTTCGTCACGAACTGAGGTCTGTTCGAGCCTCTAGTGATGTTCTTCGGACTCACTAATTCACCATCAACATTCCAAATAATGATGAATGACATCTTCCACGATCTAATCCTTACTGGAAAGGTTATGGTATACCTGGACGATATCTTAATATTTACCAAGGACATGGACGAGCATCGCCAGGTTGTAAAACAAGTACTTAAAATACTCCGGGAACACAAGTTAACGTGCAAACCTGAAAAATGCGAGTTCCATGTCGAAGAAACTGAGTACCTCGGCCACATCATTGGTCATGGGAAACTTCGCATGGATCCTGCAAAGGTTGCGGGCATTGCCGAATGGCCAGAACCCAGGTCCAAGAAGGACATTCAACAGTTCCTCAGATTCTGTAATTATTATAGACATTTTGTAAAAGGCTTCGGCTCCTTGGCCAAGCCTCTTTCGGACCTTACAGGCAACCGAGAATGAGAATGGACGGACACTGAACGAAGTGCCTTCCAAGATCTCAAGGACCTCCTTACATCGGCCCCAATTGTACACATACCTACGGACGAGGACCCATTTATGGTAGAAGTAGATGCTTCGCAATTTGCCCTTGGGGCAGTTTTTATGCAGAAGCAAGATAATCTTTGGGTACCAGTATCTTATTACAGTAGGTCATTCAAGGATGCCAAGAAGAACTATCAGGTGTATGATAGAGAGCTTCTCGCCATTGTAGATGGTCTAGAAGAATGGCGACACTACTTAATACATGCCAAGCATACTGTACAGATCTTCACTGATCACCTTAATCTGACATACTTTAGGAAACCCCAGAAGATCAACCCCCATCAAGCACGTTGGATGTCTTTCCTCGCTGAATACGATTTTGAACTGCATCATATCCCAGGCAAGAAAAACAGTGCAGCAAACGCTCTTAGCAGATGACCAGACTATGACGACGGTATGGATCACTTGGATAATCAGGTCGTATTACCTGCCGAGTTGTTCCGGAGTACCAAAGTTGTAGGGACCGATGCTATCCGTGACCTCTGTGTCATACATTCATCCGAGTATTTATTATGAAAAACTTTGCCTCAAAAGGAGCTCGAGTCAGCGGAGGACGGCACACTCTGGAGGGGGGGTGAAATTCTCATAATCCCAAATAACCAAGAAATAATCGGCAAAGTAATACAGTCCCACCACGATGCCGCGTTCATGGGACACCCAGCAATAGAAAGGACCATGGAATTAATCAAGCGATCGTACTGGTGGCCGGAGATGATCAAAGATGTTACGGCGTATGTGAAAGGTTGCGGGACCTGTCAAAAAGCCAAACCTAACTGCCAACACAGATCAGCACCACTAGAGCCAAACTCAGTTCCAGATCACAACTGGCAGTACATCTCCACGGACCTTATTGTAAAACTACCTACAGTAGACGGGTACGACTCCATCCTTGTATTTGTAGATTTGAAGTCAAAAGACTTCATAGCCATACCCTGCACGGAGTCGATTAACTCGAAGGACTATGCGGACTTGTACATTAAACATGTAATGTCGGCACACGGACTAGCGGAAAGGATATGGTCTGACAGGGGACCACAGTTCGTATCCTCGTTTACTAAGGATGTATACCAACAGTTGGGCGTCCAGGGAAATCCTTCTACTGCCTACCACCCCCAGACGGATGGGCAGACTGAACGAATGAACCAGGAAATAGAGACCTACTTGAGGATATATACCTCCTATAGACAGGATGACTGGCCTTCCAAGATACCCCTCGCTATGTTCGCATATCGAAACCATAGACAGGCAAGCACCAGCTATACCCCATTTTACCTTATGCACGGATACCACCCCTACATGGGAGTCGAAACTAGGAAAGAACCCCGTAACCAATCAGCCAAAGAATGGACGAAGGAGATGGAGAAACTTTCCAAGGACGCGACTAATCACCTTACCAAAGCAAAAGGTATAATGAAGAAGTACCATGATGGCAAATACCCGGACCATGCGGCCTATACCAAGGGCGATCTGGTACTATTAGAGGGAACTAATATTACAACTACTCGACCAAGCAAGAAGCTGGACGATAAACATTACGGACCCTTTAGTATAGTAGAAAAGGTTGGGAAGTCGGCATTCAGACTCAAGCTACCACCTGCTTGACGTCATATACACCCCGTCTTTCACGAATCTTTATTAATACCCTATCACCCTGCGCAATTTAGCGTACAAAAAGACGGTACTACTATACCCGTTCTGGAAGGTGAACCTCCTACCATCAGCCAAATCCTTGACAGCAAAAAATCCAAAACTGGACTATTATACCTGGTCAAATGGAAGGGAAAGGACGACACCGATAACACCTGGATACCCTGCTCTACTATAGCAAAGGACTACATCCTATTACTTAATAACTTCCATAAGTTACACCCCAAGATGCCGAAACTGCCTAATCTCCTTACTATACCTGGTGGTCAAAAGATCCGTGCCCGAGAAGACACGGAAAGTGATGATGAACCTGACAATAAGGGAGGAAAGATGACGGAGGAAGAAGAAGAAGAGTGGAAGGAAAAGATCTACTGGGATCACAAAATGATACGATGGTACAAACGCAAGTTCCAAGCCCATGTCGTACTTCACGCACGCCTCGATACTCAGATCGGCCTAGAAATAGGGCTGCCCAAAAAGTTCGACATCGTTTGCATCTGACTAGCGAATCCGGACCACTATATCCATACGGTCCTATTCGTCGGAACCCCCAAGTCACGTAACCATCTATTTGTATACCCCGTCAACGCTCAGTGGATAGTAGAAGAAGGAAAGGTCCAGTGCCCAGAGCACACCCACGGCTATTATTATCTCGACGATGCACCAATACCCTGGCAATGTATGCATTTCAAGGATACCCCGGTGACGGAAGAGGACATCTCCAACTATACCACATATGACCCGGAGCGTACTCGGACACTGATACCCAAGACCAAATGGGACCTACAAGCCGTACACCCACGCATCTACGACTAGAATTTAAGCCTCATGAGGACACTTTGGCCTAGAGGGGGGGTACTGTCACGGTTTTTCCATGCCACAAGTCTCAAGTGCCCACGGACTATTATTTATCCACCTAGTTACCATATATAGAAGATACCACTACGCCTCCACGTGTATATCTTAGTATACCCACACCACTCGGACATCCCTCGGACATGTACCAGTCATGTGACCCTACATCATAGTGACATCATAAGCCTGGACTCCATAGACACTCCTAGACTTAGACGGACTCCACTAGGCCTGAGCATGCCATAATGATGTATTATTAGTAACCTAGGGTACGCAGGGTCCTACACCCAGTATCAGGGGTCTCGACCCTCGTGTATATATACCCGCTCGAGCTGAGGCCTACCCCTCAGTTTTGAGTTGATCTTTACTCCTCCACTTAAGCTAAAGAACCCTGACGGGTTAGGCGAGAGCGGACCCAGGAGTTTCTGAGATCCTTCACAGCCCTGCGACGCGTTTCAGCCATCGCTTGGCGCTCGTCCCTCCTGACGTGTTGAGCGCGTTCTACCGAAAGTGCCGTCGGTCAGCCACTTCCAACAAAGAGCCTCACCCTTTCTTTCGCAGACGTTAACTGGCGAGGGGTTGCAAACAGGATGTCGCTCGGCAGTAAGTAGATGGTATCGTTGAAGGTTCACTGTGCTTCTCCCGAGTTCAGTTATCAGCAACTGGTACTAGATCTGTTTTATGCCAGTTGTGATGTACGTATCGCCGTCTACCGTCTTGATGAAACAGTCCACAACTTGTCCTCTGATGTGCATTTTCCTGACATATGAATTCTCGTTGCTGTGCTGTTCCTGAGGTTATCTTCATGTCTTGCGCAACTTTGTGGAGGTTTACATCATGGTCTTCATCGTACTAAATTGTGTGAGTATTTCTGTGCACTTCTTCTGCCGTTGCTTATATTCTTTCACAAACAGGAGTCGTAGTATCCTCGGCGCAGCGCATGGGCATATTCTCCAAGCCAAAAGTGCCTGCCACGTTTATGGCACAGCCCTTACAGACTACGAGATGGAACTTTACACTCGACGATGTCATCGTGTTATACATATCACGTGTGCATATACAACATAGGGATTACGAGTGAGGCGCGGAGAACGGAAGGATTATGACAGCTACATATTAGGTGAGCATGTGAGCATGTTTTCTGTACATGGCAAGCAATCAAGTGTACCTCATTCATTGAATGCCACTAATGAGCAGTGCCTTGTGAGCCTTCAATTGGGCTCAATGACATCACACTTATTCAGACCATCAACGCCATCCTTGGCATCATCATATCCGATGCTGTAGGTGCCGGAGGGGACCATCTCTCGCTTTTTTTTACTGACATCGCGAAGACGCGTGATTAGGCAGCAGATCGACTTTGAGAAGAACGTATACAAGGCCCGATGAAAAATTCTCTGCATTTCTCGACGCTTTCAGCTATGGTGGCCGGCATCGGACAATACTATGTAAAAACAACCCCGGACGAAAATCTGAGGATAGTGAGATAATGTTGGCAGCACTCGAAATTAGGCCACGTGGATTGAGAAAATTCGGCCACGCGAGCGCCTGATGTGATTAAGCGTGCGTGTGGCGTTGGCGCTTGCCGCTTCCTAAGTAGGCATCCACGCAAAGTAGATGTCCGGGGCCCAGATCAGCGCTGTCTGGGGTCTCGTTTCAGTATTTGGCTGGCCCATGATCTGGGGTTCCAAGTGCCGCAGTGGACCGAATCTCTCGAGGATGAAGAGGCATGTAGCTGCCGTAGAAGAGGTGGCCCGACTACATCACCACTAGATGCTAGAAGGAGTGGTTGGGTAGGTTCGTCCTCAAAGAGGTTGTGGCAGAGAATGGTCTTCCTAGCCATGTCCGTGAAGATCATGGAGGAGAGAATGTGCTTGTCACTCAACATATGGAGCAAGTCAGAGGTTCTGGACAGGGATTCTATGTATATGTGGGGAAGATATGTGAAGTTGTCTGTTTGTGTCAGTCCTTAGTTCACTCAGATCAAACAGAAGTGTTCATAATATTTGCATTGAGCGACTCTGCCTTGACTTTATGTCAGGGCTAGGTTCAAAGTGGAAGACATTCTTCCAGAAATTAGAGGTCTCATTTGGCCTTGATTCAGAAATTCCTGCTTGTATCTGACTCCTCCACTATCTGTTTCTGCATGTTATAAATGAAGAGGCCCATGAGTTGAAGAATATATTAAAAACAGATGCAGAATGTCCACTCCAGACTAAGGCATCAAGAGTCCTGCAGAACTGTGGGGCTTTAGCATCATTCAGCATGGCCTATGGGGCTTTGCGAACAACAACAATCCTGCAGATGAACCAATAGAAGGTGACATCGAGGTATATGGGATTGATTGGAATGCAATGTTCCATTCACAGATTGCCACTCATCATATGGAGCACAATGCTGCTGATATCTGATCCAACAATCCTTTTGCAACCCTTTATCCTGAGGAGTATAGTATGGTTGAAGTGCAAGAGCCAAACTGCCCATTCAACCAGGAGCAACTCAATTATTTGCATCAGAGACTCACAACCATCTGTTTGGAATCTCCATGGAGCATCGTAGCAATATGTGGATGTTCACATTTAATGTGTGCAGGAGCAAGCTTCAGTAGTAGACTCCTTTCAATGTAATTTTCTCGTCGCATCCTTTACATATCTCTACGTTGTCTAGCTAGTTCATCTTCCAATCTGTGTACATATTACAGTGCTCTAGATATTCTTTCGACGACATTGTAGGTCCTCGGTGGCCTTCGTCACCACCCAGCTGCGCTCGAAGTTCTGTTGAGTGCACCCGTCGCCTGCAATGCCGACAGCAACAAAAAGAGCGTGGCCTGCCGTGATGATATCATTTGCGGCTGGAACGCCAAGCACCTCGCAGTCATGTTCGACGACTGATACAGTCGAGGTCCCTACTCCTCCCACCCGATCTGTTCATGACCTCTAGATTCAGAGCTAGATATGCACTTTCTGGCTTGAGATCTTGACAGATGAACCCCATCAAGTGCAGGTACTCGAGAGCAGCAGTTATCTCTGCCGCATATAATCGTGCAGCATCTTCGGAGAGACATTTGCCAGGTCTGGATTGTAGCACGTGGGAGAATTCCCCACCCATGCAGTACTCCATACAGAAGTAGAGATACTGCTCGGACTGGAACGAGTGATGTAGTGTGACGATAAATGGATGATTCGCTATGGCGAGGATTTCCTGCTCCGTCAGAGCTCATTTGATTTTCTTCCGTTGAATCATCACCTTTTTTGACAAGACTATCAGAAGATCAGCAACCGAGCATGCATCGCGAATAGTGAGCTCTGCGACGCACCCTTCATCACGAAGAGCTTTCCGGACTTCTTTTCCCGCACAAGATACACCTTCCCTACATCGCCCCTGCCCAACATTTTTATCTTCTGGAAACTGGACGGTCCAACCTCCACCTAGCAACGAGCTGTATTTAGTGATGTGACAGCACGCGAGATGGCCACCACTCATAGACCTGACCTTGATAGAATGGCTTGAATAGGTTCTCCGGAACGCTACTCTGCCTGGCTCGTCTACTGTCATATTGGCATTCAACACTCTGTCTTTCATCTTATTCCCGCTGACAGATGTTGTACTATGTGCACGCTGAGGCTGTGGACGAGTTGGACGGTCTCTTGATGACGCAGGAGATATTGTCTCTAGTGAGTTTGTGCCGCGATCCGACTCCTGCGTCCCGCTAGGTATCAGAGGCAGGCTGTCTCCTGGTGACAACAGCCCGTTCCGTGTGTGCGATCCTGACCGTGAGCCCAGAGAGAAGAGGGGAGCTGCGTTGGGCCCAGATGCGACACGACGAATGAATGGAAGGGCAAACGAGAGGCCATGAATAGAAGAAAGATGGTCGGCCCTGTGTGGCTCCCAAGTCGGGAGACGCTCGCGTCGAGAACAGGAAGGCACGTGACCAACTCCCACATGGCCGAATTTTCATCTTCCACGTGGCCGAATTTCTCCCCATCGACCGATTTTTCGCCTGCACCTGGATTTTTACCCCCATTCTTACATTTAGTAATATTGTCCAATACGGTCCCTCATATTCAGCACCATCCTCGGCGTTATTATATCCGAGGACATGGTTCAATTGTAAAATGTTTCCTTTTATGTCTGGACACTTACCATAGTTAGCAGTTTCTCACGCGATCACCTCCCCATACCCCACGTCTTCTTTGCTACGCAATCCACTGTCACTTGCATGTATATAAGGGTGCCCTCCCGCCTACGAATGGAGCCAGTTTATTCCCCTGGACTAGAAATTGTGCACTCGGATCAGTGTTGAGCGCGACGTCTTCGGATAAGCCACGTGTATAAGCTCTCTCTTAGTAAGGCGACGTTCTACGCTTGGATTCCACCCGTCACGTCGACGACCCTTCGAACGCTGCCGCGCACTCAGGCGACAATCCCTGCCACTCCCGATCTCGCTTGCCTCCCGGTGTCCCGCTGACTCGTTCCGTCCACACGGGCAGTGCTACTTGCATTCCTCTTATACCAGCCTACCTACTCGCCCTCTCCAAACATCTCGCAATATGTCTCTCTCTCCAGAGCTCAACCGTCCCCTCGACGTCCTCCTCATCGACAACTTCGATTCCTTCACCTGGAACCTCTACCAATCCCTCTGTCTCCTCGGCGCCGACGTCACTGTCATCCGCAACGACGCCATCTCCCCCGACGTCTTTCCTCTACTCAAGATCAACTCGCTCATCATCTCTCCCGGCCCTGGCCATCCGAGGACTGACTCGGGCATCTCGCGCGACGCGATCAGCTTTTTTGCGGGAAAGGTGCCCGTTCTAGGCGTATGTATGGGATTGGAGTGCGTTGTGGATATCTTTGGAGGCGAAATCGCGTGAGTGTTCCACCATCGTATCCTTGTGCCATCAGTGGGAACACCCGATGCGCGACGCTCTGCGTTTTTTCCTGACGCATGTTCTGGTGGTCTGGCTCAGATGCTTTTTGGTTGACTGCAACCAATGCGTTGCAGATGCTCGTTCAGTTTGATCTGGGTTCGGAGCGCGAGTGAGATTGCCTTTTCGATCTGCGGTACAGCCGAACGCTATCCTACGTCGTCATATTATCGCATATACCTCAACCTTTGGATCGTGCACATCGCTTTTTCACCACCCGCTAACTGAATGCCTCACAGCTACGCCGGCGAGATCAAACACGGCAAGACCTCCCCCATCGCCCACGACGCACGCGGAATCTTCCTCGACGTCCCCCAAAACATCGCCAGCACGCGCTACCACTCCCTCTCCGCCTCCATCGCGTCCCTCCCTCCGTGCCTCGCCGTCACCGCGACGACGGCCGAGAGCGGCGTCATCATGGGCGTCCGTCACCGCGAGCTCACCATCGAGGCGGTGCAGTACCACCCCGAGAGCGTGATGAGCGAGGGCGGGGATAGCCTGCTCGGGAACTTTCTCAAGCTCCGCGGTGGTCGATGGGCCGACGCGGCGAACCAGTGGGCGCGCGTCGAGTCGGACGAGAAGGCCAACGGGGACGTCAACGCCGCTTCGACGTCGAGCGCTGCAGCTGCAGCGACGGCGGCAAGCAAGGTCCCGACGATCCTGGAAAAGATCTACGCGCAGCGCATGCGCGACGTCGACCTCGCGAAGCGCACCCCAGGTAGCACCCCCTCGGACCTCTCCGCCCAGCTCTCGCTCTCGCTCGCCCCGCCCCTCGTGTCCTTCCCCGCCCGTCTCCGCTCCGCGGCCCCCGCGCCCGCGCTCATGGCCGAGATCAAGCGCGCGAGCCCGAGCAAGGGCGACATCGCCCTGAGCGCCAACGCCGCGCAGCAGGCCCTGTCCTACGCGCTCGCGGGCGCGCGCATCATCTCGGTGCTCACGGAGCCGACGTGGTTCAAGGGCTCATTGGAAGATATGCGCGCGGCGCGGATGGCGGTGGACGCGCTGAGCGAGCGGCCGGCGATTTTGAGGAAGGATTTTATATTTGATGAGTATCAGATTAGGGAGGCGAGGGTGTGGGGCGCGGATACGGTTCTGTTGATCGTGGCGATGTTGAGCGAGGAGCGGTTGGGCGCGTTGTATAGGTGTGCGAAGGAGCTGGGGATGGAGCCGCTGGTGGAGGTGAATAATGAGAGGGAGATGGAGGTGGCGCTGAGGGTGGGGGCGAGGGTGGTGGGCGTGAATAATAGGAATTTGCATGATTTTGTGGTAGATATGGGGACGACGAGTAGGGTGGCGGAGGGGATGAGGGGGAGGGAGGACGTGGTGCTGTGTGCGTTGAGTGGGATTGGAGGGCCGGAGGATGTTAGGGGGTATGTCGGGCAGGGCGTCGGTGCCGTGCTTGTCGGGGAGGCGCTCATGCGCGCCGAGGACCCGAGCGCGTTCGTGCGCAAGCTGCTCGATCTCCCTGAGCCGTCTATTATGGAGGAGGAGGAGGAAGAAGAAGAACGGCCGCTGGTGAAGATATGTGGGATACGCACGGAGGAGGAGGCGCTTGCTGCGATGGACGCGGGCGCGGATATGCTCGGATTGATGTTCGCGCCGAAGAGCAAGAGGAGGATATCGCTCGACCAGGCGCAGAAGATCTCGTTGGCGGTGCACGCCGCGCGATTCGCTCGGCCCGTCCGCGGTGATCTCGTCTCCTCCACCTCCGCCGGATCCAAGCCCAAGTCCGAGTCCGCATCGGACCTGCCGCCGCTCCCATGGTTCGCAGCGCACGCGCGCAGACTGAGCCGGGCGCTGCGCGAGCCAGAGGCGCCCGCGAGGCCGTTGCTCGTGGGTGTGTTCCAGGACCAGCCGTTGGAGGATGTGCGGAGGGCTGTGGAGGCGGCGCAGTTGGATGTGGTGCAGTTGCATGGAAGAGAGCAGGCGGAGTGGGCGCGGTGGGTGGGGGTGCCGGTTGTTAAGGTGTTTCATGTGCCGGCGAGCGGGGATGGAGACAAAGAGGGGGAGAGGGATTCGCTCCGAGAGTTGACGAGGCCGGGGTTGAATCAGTTTGTGATGCTTGATGCGGTCAAGCCTGGGGCGGTGGATGGGCTGAGCGGCGGTGGGGGCGTCGCACTTGATTGGGCGCGTGCGAGGGAGGTGGTTGAGCAGGGCGAGTTGCCGGGTGTCCGGATCGGGGTGGGGAAGAGGGGGAGGATGCCGATTGTGTTGGCGGGTGGATTGACGGTGGAGAATGTTGGGGAGGCGGTGAGGACGGTTAGGCCGTGGGCGGTTGATGTGAGTGGGGGTGTGGAGGGGGAGGGGGGACGGGGGAAGGATGTGGGGAAGATGAGGGCGTTTGTGAGGGCTGCTAAGGGGTTGTGAGGGATGGGGGTGGTGAATACAAAAGGTCGTGTAGAGTGTTCATTTGTTATTGGTAATATTCTTCTATGTGATATATCTATATTAGATATCTGATATAACAACACTATTGCTCATTGGATTCTTCTCTTCCCGGGAGGTAGGGAGCGATAAAGAACGCATGCGTCGTTCGTCAAAGTTGTGGCAGAGGTAGAGAGGTTCAAGTAGGTGCTTGTTGTACCTTGTTGCCCTTCGCGCCAAACGTGACAGGCGCATTTACAAAGATCGGCTTTACTCGATCGAGTGCGTGTACATGCGTACGAGCTTCGCGGGATCATTTGAGCGCGGGCCCGTGAGGACGACCGTCTTAGTAAGGCGTCATGCATCGTGATGAGTCTGTGGAGTTGACTCACTGAATCGTTGCATGGAACGCTCTAAAGTAGGTTCGCCCAATTCCCAATAATCTCTATTCGATGAATATTAATCTTCGCTCTATTACGGTGTTCAAAATTCAATATAGCGACGTCCAATGCTTTCATTCATTTGTCTGCCATTTCGTTCATCTCCGAGTCTCCTCGTAACCTTGTAAAGGCGCCTAGACGTTGGCTATTCTTCCGTCAAAAGCTTCGCCTCGCTCGAGTCTCGACACGATTCTCTCCTCGACTCTTCCAATATACGTTAAAAATATGCGAGATACAGAGCACTTGCATTGTTTGTCTCACATCACATTGCAGGGTTTCGCACGGTTACGATTGTTGGAATCACGAGAACTGTCATGTACGTTTAGCGCCATCAGAATCACGAGCCATGGCAACCCGAAAAAGGCAAGTGTAATGTTGGCAGACCGCGGTGGCATGAGAACAAGCACATTCAATCTGGACCATGCCCTCACTCGCAACATCCTGACCATTCTGTCGACGTTTAACGGCATATATTTCGCTACTCTCGTATGTTCTCGATCAGCTAATAATAGAGTGATTTGTTAACCTCACACAAGCAGCAGGCTAGAGCGAGCTCGATTCATTCTCTGAACGTCTCCCATTATCTCTTCTATCCCCCGACCGACCACCCTGCGGTCACTTTCTTAGACTGATACCCTCTCTCAGTGCACGCAAAGGATTCAAGATGCCGCGCGTCCCAGTCATAGGCCGTCTCACCTTCCGCGAATACGTCGGCATCTTCGTCGGCTCACTCTTCATCGTCCTCGAGACGATCCTTACGACCATCATCGGCTTCCTCCCCAAGCCCGTCATCCAATGGTTCTACAACCGCTCGCGCTCCATCTTCCACGCGTTCGTTGGCCCACCTGAGCCCAAGTCTCACAAGCAGCACTTCGCGGAGCGCATCCGGCGTGCGCCCGACTTTGAGCGTCTCTGCGAGATTTTCGGGTACACCTTTGAAGAGCACGTCGTCTTGACGAAGGATGGATATCTGCTTGGGCTGCACAGGTTGCCATTCAGAAAGGGCGAGCAGCGCGTGGGCCGCGGGTCCAGCACGGGCAAGCCGGTGGTGTACCTTCATCACGGACTGCTGATGAACAGCGAGGTGTGGGTTTGTCTCACGGATCCAGAACGCAGCTACGCGTTGAGGCTCGTGGAACTCGGCTATGACGTATGGCTAGGCAATAGCCGCGGCAACAAGTACTCGAAGAAGAGCGTACACTACAATCCGAACAGCACCAGGTTCTGGGACTACAGTATCGACGAATTCGCATGGCATGACATTCCGGACTCCATCGAGTATATCCTGGACGTGACAAAGGAACCGAGCCTGAGCTACGTGGGCTTTAGCCAGGGAACGGCACAGGCGTTCGCTGCGCTGAGCATCCATCCGCAGCTGAACGAGAAGGTGAATGTGTTCATCGCGCTTGCTCCTGCGATGAGCCCGGCAGGCTTAGCTGCCCCGATCGTGGATGGGCTCATGAAGGCATCGTGAGTGACGTCAGTTACTCCGGTACTCTGTTTGCTCACCAGTGCTCGTCAGACCGACTCTGCTCTACCTTATCTTCGGGCGAAAGGCCATTCTCACCTCCGTACCCGCATGGCAATCCCTCCTATACCCCCCTGTCTTCGACGCCATCATCACCACCTCACTCCGAGTCCTCTTCTCGTGGCGCTCCGAGCGGCTGTCCCCCCTCCAGAAACTCGCAGCATACCCGCATCTGTACTCTTACTGCTCCGTGAAGTCCATCGTGCACTGGTTCCAGATCATGCGCAACGCCAAATTCCAGATGTACGACGACGATGTGCAGGTGGTCGCGCGTGTGGCGACGCGGAAGCACCGGCCCAGCGGCGTGACGAGCTACGCGCCTGCGCGGTTCCCCACGCGCAACATCGTCACGCCGATCGTGTTGATCTACGGCGACGCGGACTCGTTGGTGGACATCGATGCGATGATGAGGGAGCTGCCTGGGCACACCACTGCGCGGAAGCTCAGTGGGTACGAGCATCTGGATATCTTGTGGGGAGAGGAGATCGACCGGGATGTCATACCATTTGTGGAGGAGGCGTTGAAGAACAACTGCGTCAGGCCGGAGAGGGTCGGCAAGGATTCGAAGATAAGCATGAATGGATATTTGGATGTCGCGACGGATACGGATGGGACATCGACGTATGGCGACGGGGACCGGTGACGGACCACGGTGCGACCGTGTTACACATTGCTATGTTTGTCTGCTCTGAGTGTTATGTTTCGCTATGATCTACTCATGTCCATTAATGGTCTACATTAGACAAGTCTCCTCTTAGAAGGGTCTTTTCGCATCTAAGACTGTGTTTCTGCCTTTGCACCTTTTCGGAGGACGCTGAAGCGCTGAAGCTTGAAGCTTCAGCGCTCAGTGCTTCACGCGTGTTGGGTCCTCTTTTCAGGCTCATCTCGCTCTCGCGTTCAAGGCAGGGCTAATTGAACGCAAATGCTGCACATGCTGCACAAATAAATTCTGCAAGAGCTACTGCGGGAATAAAAAGTCATCTGTGATCATACGTCTTATATGCCTACGCCCCGTGAATTACAACCATAGCCGTGGCCCTCACCCTGGTTTGTGATTGCCTCTATCCGCGCCCTATCATTGCTAGAGGCCTATCCGAAGTTCGCTGTCTCTTGCCGGATCATCGCTTTCGGTGTCTCTTACGCGGTCTGACACGCGAGCAGATGACTGGTAAGGCATCCCTTTTACGTAGCGTATCCGACGTCCTCGTAGCGAGCCATGGTATGTACAATGATTGATATGGACAATTCTTCCGCTCCCCGCGTATGTGTTATGCATGTCTCATTACTGGCGATCGTGAGAGGATCATCGAACAGAGGTCGCACGCACCACATCAATTTGGAGTTCCTGTGTTGATTCAACGCAACGCCAATACCTCATCATGTAGCTGTCGGTACCATCTGCCGGTGGTACCAATGGCTGCATTGCGAGATACAGCCAATCGCGAAGATCACAAGAAGCATTCGTGGCTTAGAGAAGAGGACCTGTGCGTGCTTTGCCTTTCTTTGCTTGCTGGGAGATCTTCTTTGCAGCACATCGGCGAGCTTTATACAATATCGCGCGCCGCAGACTGTGAACCTTTGATCGATCGACGCCTCCCCGACCGAGTAAGCTCCAGGCTGATTATGCGGCGTAGAATTACCGCAAAAGAAGGACCTTTGGTCCAGCACATATGTTCGCGATTGCGATGTTCCATCAAATGTGATATTGCCTGGAGATGATCCGGCAGGGGCTACGGCTCCAGCATTGTAAGGGTCACCAGTGGCATGGCAGCGCACTAACCCATCACGTCGGTCGAAAGCTCGGTGCATGATAACACCGGCGGAAAAGGAAGCTCGACGCAAGTAGTACCGTCGGCTCTGGAATGAGGAACTTGAGCATGTGAAGGGACCGCCCCACGCTGGGCTCTCTGACCTTCAAGTTGCATCCGATCAGATGAGCAGACTGGGAGCCGGAAGCATGGCAGGGACCGCCGAGTGACTGAATTGCTGTCAATCACTGGTATGGGGACACGAGTAACATCAATTTGTTGCAAGAAGAGCTGACCTGAAGGCCGCATGAGAGCGGTTTAATAGCGGCCATATTCTCTCCCAGGCAAGTCTTCTTGGTTGGTCACAGGTGCATTTCATCCTTGACCAGTGGTTTTGTGTTGTCGGCGACAAGTGTCTACGGTCCGTCTTGCAAGCACAGTGCTAGCTAGGACCATGTCCACGCGAATGAGCCGATTTTCCCTGGAATTTGTGCTTTTGGCGGTGACCATGTGTCTCCTCAATGCTCGATGGAGTACCCGGAAGCTGTAGGAAGGCTTGATGCCTACGCGACTCATTTAACTAATTTCTGTCGCAATCAGTACCACGCCGGATTGAAATCCGAGGCCCAACGGAACGTTTGCGCTGAAAATCTTATGCTTTCGGGCAGGCTACACCTGCGAGCGAGACTCGGGGTAAATACTGTGAATGTTGCTGGCCTGGATAGCGGTATACCCTGCGGAGTTCACGCCTCAGTATTTGCGCGTGGTTGGTGGAAAACCCGACAAGACCTACGAAGGAGTCCGTTCTCAGATATGACATACGTCAGCCATTGGCTATACAGGTATAAAAGACCAGAATCCACCGCCATATATCGGGTGCTGATTGATCCCGTCCAAGTGTCACCACGAACCAATCACCCAAACACTTCCTCTGTACGCTTATTCTGCTGAACGTTTGGTTCGCCGCGCCAGCTGCCCATACTGGTCAGTCCTTCGTCTCCCTGTCCTCTCGTTTGTTCACCCCATGTGCATGTAATCGCCTCGAAATGAATAAAGTGTTGTCACGTGGATAGACCCTAACCTATTTTTCGGGTGTCCATCAGAACGTGGCTAACGCTGGTCTCGCTCACAACGCACCGGCCCAGCATGCAGCCTGCCTCCCGCCTCTTTCCACTGCTAGGCCGTGCAGTGCAGCCTTTGACAGAGCGACTCGATCTCTGCCACAGCTATCTCCCGGGCACCTGGCGGCCATGAACCTCCTCCACCGTCTTATACCCTCCTCCTTCTCCCCCTCCGCTCTGGACATGCCATCCATCCGCATACGCGTCCACGTCCACGCGCCCACCCTATCTCCCAAATCCCCTCCAGCACCCACCTCCCCCGCCTCCGCCTGCAAGTCCCTCAAATCCCGCAGATCCCGCATATCCCAGCCATCCCCTCCCGACCCGCCCGCGCCCGCGCCCAAGCCCACCATCACCATCCTCACACCCGCCCAAGCCGCCCACATCGCCTACTTCCCCGCCTCCGCCTCCTCCTCGCCCACCCTCGCCATGAACACCCCCGTGCGCTCCGTCCGCCCCGGCGTACCCTCCTCCGCGCTCTCCCTCGACGCCCGCGCCCTCCACACGCGCGAGTCGCTCAGCATGCCCGCGCTCGGCATGGGCACGGGCACGGGCACGGACATGGGAGAGATCCCAGAGAGCGCGTTCACCCCACCATTCAACATCATCACCCAAAGCATCGACTCGGCCGCGCACCCGCTCCCGTCCATCCACCCACTCGGCCCCGCCCGCCCCCCACGCACCCTAGTCGCCCTCCGCAAGCTCCGCGCCCGCGCGCGCCAGCTCCTCCCCGCCACCCTCAAGGAGCACCAGCGAAAGCGCCGCGCGGACACGGAGCAGGAGTTCCAGGACGCGGCGCATGCGACCTATGCGTGCTGGCGCTGTCGGAGGGCGGGTGGGCGCCGCGAGGGGTGTAGGGCATTTCGGCGGGCTGGGGAGGGCGCGGGGAGGGCGGGGGATTTGTTTGCGTAGGAGGTGATGGTGTCCAGGTGAGTGGATGCGTCTGGTGGGTCGTGGTGGTTGCTCATGGATGTGCGTTTTCCTATAGCGCGGACGATGCTATTTCTTAGCTGAAGGCTCATATGCTCCATATGGGTATCTCCATATCCTTTTACCGCACCATACTCCAATCTTTCTCCGCCAAGTGACTCAAACTCGACCTCAGATATGCCCCAACACTTATGTTATCTCACATCAACGTACCCGAACAGTCCCCGATACCCATCTAGATCTGTATTCCCTCCATGTACCCTTGATATCCACCCGCCACGTCTCCCTCGCATCTACTGTGCCCATGTATCGTATGGACTCTGCTTGTATGCCTCCTCCCACCTAATGCGAATTCCCAATTCCTATTCTGGCTGCTCAGCGGGTTCGGTGCTACGGTGTGATATGACTTGTCGTCGACCAAGAGCGCCGCGGCTGTGGGGTGGTACGTTACTGGCTATGCTCGCGGGGAGGTCAAGATCGGATAGGTGAGTGGTCATTTAGACGAGACACATTGATCGCTAGCTGACGGGTACGCATTGCCAGCTGCGCTGGGGCTGGAGAGCATCAACGGATGACGTGCACACTTCGACTTGGAGTCGACCACTGGCGGGGACGTTGATCGCACTTCCGTGCATCTCCCAGCGCAGTCCGTCCTGGCACGCTACTATGCGCTCTTTGATGAGCTTTTCATATGTTCATCGTCTGGTGCGTCCCTGCGTCTCACCCAGCGCCTGCTCGAGCGCATGCCCTTTCGATCGCGTCCGAGTCATTGTCCTCATCCGCGCGCGCGAGCGAGCCGCGATGATCGTGTTCAGCTCCACGCCACGCGGCCGCCCTCCTGTCTCTCTCCGTCCGTGTCCGCGGTTGAATCGTCCAGGTGCCGTCACCATATATCACTATGCGCTCGTCACGGCTGGCCGCGCTGCGCCCACATATGCTCGCGACGCGAATCTCGTCCTCGTTCCGTCCACCTTCACCTGACGGATATCCGGACGCGCCGTTCCGTTGCCGTATGTTGTGTGGGGCTTCGTTGCGTGCCTTTGATACTGGTATGAAAACGTGCGTGTGGCGTGTGCCCACCGTGACTGTCCTCCGTTCGTCGTTACTCGCCGCGCCTTTACGGATCTGCGCTGAGAGTTCGGTCCCAGTCGAAGCGGCGGTCAAGCGAGTCGGAGTGCACAGGGACAGTTCGCCGGACAGGTCGTCGACAGGCGCGATATCCGCTGCTTCGTGGTGAGCCCCTTCTCTATGCAGCAGTCCTTTTTCTCCTTCAGCCAGTATCCGATCTCTGAAGGGTCACTATCGTTGGCATCTCCAGGGAACGCACGAAACGCGACGATAAATAACTATGCAGATTGGCGGGATGGCACCAAATAAGCAAAGGCTCGCAACACTGCTCAGTGATGCTCTACCAGCGATACGATACCGTGAACGAGTTTAAGTGAGACGGGGCGACTTCGTCTCGAGAGACTTTCGTGCATCGCAATCACCGGACGGATCAGCGCATCGTTTAGCGGAGAAGTTTTCGATTCAACCAATCAGCACGGATTATGACAATGACAACAAACGACCCATCTGTTTGGCGTCCTCTGACGCTTTGCATCCAGACAGTCGGGCGGAAGAAAGGCACAAACAGCGATTCATCTTCCGTCCGCTTTGCTGCTGATAAGCCCTTCTCGTCACCGGTGCGCCCGTCTTCTGCCCTCACCCTACTCTGAGCCCACACTGCGCGTAGATTCCGGTAATTCGTCTCCGCCCTCGGAGCGAGGATACTGGAGGAACATGCGCACCCTCCAAACATTTTCCAAAGGGCGGACGTCTGAATGGATGGCGGACCAGGAAGACAAGTTGAGATTGTAGCGATGCATCTGGATACAATGCTGCTGAGCGCCCTGAAGTTGTCGATGTCTTTCCAGGATGGGGAGTGTTCTGGAGAAGCTCTATGGTAGCGATGGGCTCGCGATGGCTTTCTCTCGCTCAGTAGAGAACAAAGATCGTGAGGAGCATGTCAGAGGACCGCTCAACGTGCAAGTATGCGGGGACGCTGGAGGATCGCGAGAGGTATGCGTGAGGGAGCGACGACGTCCCTGCAAGGCTCTTATACAACACTCTGAGATAAGGAGCGCAAAGGTATGGCATCATGACGGGATAGCGAGCCGTGAAATGCGATCTCGCCGGAAGTTCACGTTGCGCGTGGTGGCTTGTTATAGCTGCGGTGATGCATGCGTCTTGAGAGTGCGTCATCCATAATGAACGAAGCAAAGTTTATCCCCATAGAGCAGCTTGCATAGATTGCACGTGTGAATCGTCGCGGAAAGGGGTGTGATGGGCAAAGGGTTACCACGGTGGCAAAGACTTGCATTGCAGCACGAGCTTTGCACGAGGCAGCGTTGAGGGACCCTATCTTCTATAAGGGCCGCAAGGAAGTGGTCTTCATGCCTCCATTGCGGAGGTGACCGAATCATTCCGGACATAAGGCACTCAACAAAAGTATATCATCAATGATCGAAAAGGTTTGTAGAAGGCAGAGGAGAAACACCGGTAATCGTTTCGCGCCGGCCTCAAAGCAATGCAGCGATAGAGAAATATTCGCACTTGATGATAGTGGGCTTGCAAATGTATGCAACAGCCGATGCTGTCAGGGGGCTAGTGCTCAGACAGTTCATCGCAAGCAGAACGCAATTGTCTTCACTTCTAGACAGATAATAACATCATGAACGCATGGAGATATCACAAGGCGAGAGAGTCCGAGAGGCATTCCGCCCATCAAATAGATCGAACACCTAAGATACCCCGTGTACGGTGTCGACGATGCGTTCACCACCGCGGGTATAGAAAAATATCATTTCTGATGAATGCAGTGACAGTGATGAAGAAAGTGGAGAAACACTACACCTACTATTCAAAGCAAGGCTTCCAAGTCAGTTCTCTCCTGGGAACTGCTCCACAGGCTTCATCGAGATGCATCGAGGCAAGCGGTCATTTTTATCTCTCTTCCTACCAGGGAAGGGCATGTATTGAGGAATAACGCAGTATTCCTGAGCCATGGTGGTAAGTCCGTATCATGATGAACAGGACGCAAAGCAGTTGCTCACATCTTCATTGCACGCTGGACTACAGCCCAGCCACACAGGCCAATCAAGCCACTCTAACAGTGCCTTGATATCGTCTCTCCATTTCACCAGGAAATCTTCCACAGCCTTCATGTCTTGTTCCTCGATGTCATACGCCTCTCGCCACGTCGCAGTCAACACTTTGCAGATTTCATGCAGCACCTCGTCTACAGCCGCTTTCAGTACGTGTTCCTGTTTCGTGAACCGCGACCTCGGAAGGTGTGACGTAAAGCTAGCAGCGCAGCCTCTAGCAATCTCCGCATACTATGCTGGCTCGCCAACGCTGGCACGCGGCATGTAAGGGATGAGGGAGACGATGAGTTGCTGACGAACGTCTGCAACCTGTTCGGACGCGTTGGTTATCGGCTGGCGTAACAGGTAGTGTAGGTACGGCAGCCGATCAGAGAACCTATCCTGAATGACCTGTGCGAGGCTCTGCCAGTCAAATCCGCTACCTGCCCCGGAATCGCGCCTCAGCACATGATCAACCTCCATCTGTGCAGCTGCAATATCCTTCTTCGAAATGTTCAGCAGGCGATAATCCTCCCTCTGGCGAGACCGGCGGGGTTCTATGAGGGACCTGAATGCAGGGTCAAAGAAGGTGATCATGCTTGACAGGTCGACGTGCACACGCATGTCGCCAGGGAAGGCATTATGCCAGCTGCCTGCATGCCAGACCTCACCTGCGATGACCTTGGGAGGGCTTCCTTTCCAGCCTTTTGGGGGAGGAGCTGGATCAATCCAGGGCCATTCCGGGCTACCCAAGCGTCTTTCGAGCTTCTCGTCATTTGTGCGTAGCAATGCTGGGATTCCACGATGACTCTGTGGGTCTTTGAGTGTTAGGCCTCCGGTTCGGACTGTTTTAACCGCGGATACGAGCTCCAAGCCCTTTGAGAAATCACAGTACATGATCTCGCTGCGATAGTCAGGTCGATCGTCAGTCACATGTACTCCATACCACTGGGTAGAACGCGCACAAATCAAATTGCATTCTGATGAACCCATCAATGTTGTACTGCTTTCCCCATGCGCACATGTCTGCGAGCCGCTGCCATTCGCTCGCCATCCCTCCCCATTCCGCTTCATGAGGTACTTCTCCGTAGATCAGCACGTCTTGTGCATCGACTACACCGCCCGCGTGGTTCGCGCTGCACCCGTCAAAGTACAGAAGATCGAGTTTACGCGTGGTGCAGAACGTGAACAGCGTGCCGTTCTCCCCGGTTGTAAATACGATGGAGTGCTCCGGGTCGACGGATGTCCAATCCATGGTGGGGTAGTCCGCGTCCCTTCGGCCGTGATAGAGTAGCGTGCCGGGCGGTATGCTGGCACGAACGATGGTGTGACCTGGGCAGTATTTAACGAATTCTGACCAGCCCGTGAGAGACATACAACGCACCGTTCGGATACCACGCGTTGGGCATCATTTGCATGAGAGATGCAAGCGACTGGAAGATGAGATTACCAGTCGCATCTTTATCGATCGGTTCGTCCCAGGAATGCGAAGTGATTATGCCGGATGGAGCATCAAGTGGAAGTTGGGGTGCTGGCTGTGCCGAATTGAACGATGCGGAGACCGCGTTGGCAGCGAGGAGCAGATGCCACCATGATGTAACCATATCCTGGATGCAAAAAATCAGTATCGAGCGAGTCAAGCACAACTTGAACGCGGGGAATGTGCTACTGATATGTATGCGAACACTAACAGTGAGTGCCTGTGAGGAGGGGTTTGCTGCGTGAAGCTATACCGCCCTGTAGTGCAGAACCGTTCGTTGGGTCGTTGACTTAGATATCGGTCTGGTCGTGTAGATTACACAGTCTCGAGTGTCGACGCGAGGGCTAGGATAAGAAAGAAGACAAGGAGACGATAAAGGACACCTATTCGCTTGAGCAGTCCGAAGACATCGCGCGTGACCAGCCGAGAATGCTAATCCGAGTACGCGAGTAGAATCCAGGCGGAAAAGCTCACTTTGCATTCGTACATAGGCGGGATTATGCAAGCTTTATGTAGTACATGAGCGTGGCATTGGTTGCAAGCGCCTATCGATCGCGAAGCGCGCTACTGTATTTTCTATGCGTCCTGTCGTACGTTTTGTCCAGTAGACGGAGTGGTAGGCAGAAGGATTGAGGTTAATCAAGCTGCTGATGGACTCGAGTAGGGTAGAATGGCATGAGCAAGGAGATACGGACAACAAAAGAAGACAAATATGGAACTCACTGTGACATCCGAAACCAGCAGTTCCTTAAAAGCATCAGAATCAACATCTACAGGAATACAGCTCACGACTGAAGAACTACCTCGCCATCGCCACTTCCCACAGTAAAAAAAAGTATGCGTTCCACGCGGCGCAATGAAGAGGTCCGAACCCAGCGATGGCTTGCCGTTTGTTAAATACAGAACTAGAGACGCAACCACCATGTCTGAGAATGGCTTGGCGTACAAGTATGCGGGAATGCTGAAGGGTAGTGAGAGGTATACGTGAGGGAGCGACGACGTCCCTGTAAGGCTCTTATACAACTCTTTGAGATAAAGAGAGCAAACGCGTGGCATCATAACAGGATAGCGAGACATGAAATGTGATCTTTCCGGGAATTCATCTTGCGCGTGATGGCTTGATGTAGCTGCGGTGATGCATGCATCTGAGAGTGCGTCATCCATATTGAAAAAGTTGAGTTTATTCCTCATAGAGGAACTTGCATAGATTGCCCGTGTGAATCGTGGCGGAAAGGGGTATGACGGGCAAAGGGTAACACTGTGTCAAAGACTTCCATTCAGCATGAGCTTTGCATGAAGCAGCGTTGAGGCGCCCTATCTTCTATAACGGCCGCAAGAAACTGGTCTTCATGTATCAGAGAAACCACTATCAACGGAGGTGACCGAATCTCCTGAAAGCAGCAAAGGACATATATACAGAGTTCGAATTATATGATGCCATCATGATCGAGCTCGTGAGCTTGATCGGATGTGGCACAGAGTCCCATCCCTCCCATCTCCCGGAGAATGTTGGGAAGGAGCCTACACCTCTCCCCGCTACACTCTCGTCGATTTCGTGTATGGCCAATCTCATCCGCTATGCCAAGTCGGGCAGCGACTGGACGCAAAACGACCTCGATGCGTACAATATCAATGTCCGACTGGAAAACGCGACCGCCTTCTTTGGAGTCGAGGACCTGCCGCCACCCTCGATTGACCAGGAAGTGTTGACGACACTGGACGCGGCCAACATGGCGTCCGTCCCCAATGCCGTGCTCATCAACCTCCTCGACCTCGCAATGGCTCCGGAGCCCAACGGAGAGTCCGCGGTCGACGACTTTGCCGTCGCGTTGTTCACAAACCTCGGCTATGTCAATCAACACAGAGTCGCTCGCACTCGCAAGAACATCCCTTTCCTGATATGCGGAGAACGCAGGTATGCCAAGGCAGATGTTTGTCTCATCGATCGTCGCGAGAACGACATTCTTCTCGTCGTTCAAGAGGACAAGCGCTTTCGAGAGGATCCGCTTGCTGTCCGATGTCAGCTGATCGCTGAGGCGATCGCTGCGTTCAGCTATAGTAACGGGCTCCGGGAGTCAGCGGGTCTAGAGCCCCTGGAATCGAAGGTATGTGGTACTGCCGATCTACACGCGCTATTATTTACTCGTCAAGCAGATCATGCCGGGCATCGTTCTCGTTGGCACAACGCCTACCTTTTATAAGATTCCTGTCACCGCCGAGCTCGCGCGCCATATCGCTCATGGCACATACCCGGTAGAAAGAACCGTTGTTTCCTCGCATGTCCCCGATCTGCCTCGGCCAACACGCCGTTACAGTGAAGGCATGAAGCCTTTGGATAACAGGCAGGCGATTCTTCGCTGCTACGAGGCATTCAAACGTGTTGTGGGTATATAGGCTGCGAATGGATGACACGCTGCCTCCTTCGCAGAAATGTTAATGCAAATTCACGATTTTCATCCCGATGCAGTATTCTCGTCGGCACAGTGGGTTGAAATGTTGCTGTTGACTACGCATGCAGGTTGAGAGTGAGGTCGGATACTAGGTGAATGGTCATGTAGATGAGCGATATTGGGTGATCGCTGACGGGCGTGCATTCTGGACGGCATCAATGGTTGGCGTGCACACTTCGAGTCGATCACTGGCAGGGGCATTGATGGCGCTTCCGTGCATCTCCCATGGAACTGCAGTCCGTTGTCCGTCCTGCCACGCTCTATGCGCTCTTTGACGAACCTTTCATACGTTCATCGTCTGGTGCGTCTTGCTGCGTTTTATCTCCTTTCAATCGCGGCGTTATCCTCGTTTCAGAGTGAAGTGAGATCGCAATGATCGTATTCACGATCCACGCCATGCGACCGCTGTTACGCTGCAGCCTTCCTGTCTCTCTACGTCTTTGCTCGCGGCTTGAATCGTCCAGCTACTGTTACCATATTTTACTATGCTCTCGTCACGGGTGGCCGCACCACGCCCACGTGTTCTGCGACTCTCGTTCTATCCGCCTTGACCTGACGGATTCTCGGACGCACATTCCCCTTGCCATATGTCGTGTTGGGCCTCGTTCCGTGCTTTTGGTACTAGCACTGAGAATGTGCCTGTGGCGTGTGTCCACTGTGACTGTCCTGCATTCGTCTTTGCTCGCCGCGTCTTCGTAGATTTGCGTTTAGAGTTCGGTCCGAGTCGGCGAGGCGATCAAACGAGTCGGAGCGAATATGGCACAGTTCGCTGTACGGGCCGTTGATGGTTGCGATATCCACTGCTTCTTAGTGAGTCCCGTTCTCTCGTGTGCCTTGGTACTAACTGGCCTCTTCATCTGTCTGTTCAATAGTCTCATTGCTCATATTTTCCTCTCAGGATGCAGACTTAATGTGCAACTGAGGCCGTAGCGGACGGCAGGTGCTTTCTCATTCCAGCCGCCTCTAACGGTGTCCGTTGCATTGGTTCCTGGTCTTCACACGCCATGTCCTCGTCAGTTCGACCCGTCAAGCTACAGCTGCACGTTCTTTATGTTGTCCGCTTCAATTATGAAATGTACAGCGAGCCAATACAAATTAGTACGAAAGCCGCTCCAGAAGCAAATGCCCGTGGACTTTATATGATGTGGTAGGAATGACCGCGAGGACGTCGGAAGTGCCGGTATGAATTTCGTCTCGTAGACGGGGTGGTAGGCAGCAGGAGTGAGAAGGATCAAGGTGCTGTTGGAGAGAGAGAGCAGGATAGCACGAACCGCGAGATAAAGGCAACACAAGGAAACAAAGATGACTCAAGTCACGATGATATCCGCGATCTGCGGTTCGTTCGAAAATACCACAATCAAAACACACAGAGGAATGTCATTCACGAGCGAAGAACTACCTCGCCGTAGCCACTTACCCACAGCAATAGGAAATGTGAACTCAGGAATTCCACGGGGCGCAATGAACAGCTCCGAAGCCAGCGATGGCTTACTGGTTCCTTAAAAGAACTAGAAACGCAACGAGCACGTCTGAGGATTGCTCAGCATACTAGTATGCGGGAACGCGGAAGAATCGCGAGAGGTATACGTGAGGGACAGGGGACGTCCCTGGAAGGCTCTTGGACAACACTCTGAGATAAAGATAGGGGAGGCGTGGCATCATGACGGGATAGCGAGACATGTAATGTGATCTCTTGTTGATGTAGCTACGGTGACGCATGCATCTTGAGAGTGCGTCATCCATATTGAAAAAGTTAAGTTTATTCCCACAGAGGAGCTTGCGTAGATTGTCCGTGTGAATCGTGGCGGGAAGCGGTATAATGGGCAAACGGTTACTACGGTATCAAAAATTTACAATGCAGCACGAGCGTGTTGAGGGGCCAGATATTTTATGTGGACGGCAAGCAAGTGGTCTTCATGCCTCCAATAGTGAAATCAGGATCAATGGAGGTGGCCAAGTCGTTCCTGAAACCGAGGGGACATAACGCACTCAACGAAAGTATATCATCAATGATCGAAGGGGTTTGTTAGAAGGCAGAGGAGAAATACCGGTATTCGTTTCACGCTGGCCTCAAAGCAGTGCAATCAAAAAGAATATGCGCAGCGGAAGACAGTGGGCTGGCAAATGCATGCAACACCCGATGCTGTCAAGGGTACTGTCCAGGCATTCATCGCAAGCAGAACGCAATTGTCTTCACTTCTAGATAGATAATAACATCATGAACGCATAGAGACGTCACGAGGTGAGAGAGTCAAAGAGGTATTCCGCCCATCAAATAACCCGAGCACCTAAGATAACCCGTGTACGGTGTCGACGATGCATTCACCACATCAAAGCGAAGGCTCACATGTCAACTCTGTCCTGGATAGTGATCTATGGGCTTCATCGACATGCATCGAGGCAAGTGGTTCTCTTTATCTCTGTGGCTGCCAGGGAAGGGTATGTACTGCGGGGTGAAGCAGTATTCCTAAGCCATAGCGGTAAACACTTATCATAATGGACTGGGTGTAAAGCAGTTGCTCACATCTTCATTGCACGCTGGACTACAGCCTAACCACGCTTGCCAATCCAGCCACTCTATCAGTGCCTTAATATTGTCTCTCCACTTCATAAAGAGAGTTTCTGCTGTCTCCGTGTCTTGTTCCTCGATATCAAACGCCTCTCGCCACGTCGCGGTCAACACTCTGCAGACTTCATGCAGCACCTCGTCTACAGCCGCTTTCAGTACATGTTCCTGTTTCGTGAACCGCGACGCCGGGAGGTGTGACGTGAAGCTCATGGCGCAGCCTCTAGCAATCGCTGCGTACCATGCTGGCTCGCCGACGCCGGCACGCGGCATGTAAGGGATGAGGGAGACGATGACTTGCTGGCGAACATCTGCAACTTGTTCGGACACATTGGTGATTGGCTGGTGAAGCAGGTAATCTAGGTACGGCAACCGATCAGAGAATCTGTCCTGAATGACCTGTGCGAGGCTCTGCCAGTCCAATCCGCTACCTGCCCCAGGATCGCGCCTCAACACATGATCAACATCCATCTGTGCAGCTGCAATATCCTCCTTCGAGATGTTCAGCAGGCGATGGTCCTCCCTCTTGTGAGATCGGCGCGGTTCTATGAGGGACCTGAATGCAGGGTCATAGAAGATGATCATGCTTGACAAGTCGAGGTGCACACGCGTGTCGCCGGGGAAGGCATTATGCCAGGTGCCTGCATGCCAGACCTCACCTACGATGGGCTTCGGAGGGCTGCCTTTCCAGCTTTCTGGGGGAGGAGTTGGGTCGGTCCACGGGCGGTCGAGGTGGTCGGAAGGGCTTTCAAGTTTCTCATCATTCGTTCCCAGCGGCATTAGATTTCCACGATAACTTTGTGGGTCTTTGAAAATTACGCCTCCGGTGACTGTATTAATCGTGGAGACGAGCTCCAAGCCTTTCGAGAAATCACAATACATGATCTCACTGCGATAGTCAGCTCGACGTCAGTCATATGTATTCCATACCACAGGTTATAACACGCACAAGGAAGCTTGCATTCTGATGAACCCATCAATGTCGTACTGCTTTCCCCACGCGCACATGTCTGCGAGCCGCCGCCACTCGCTCGCTATCCCTCCCCAGTGCTCTTCATGTGGCACTTCTCCGTAGATGAGCACGTCTTGTGTATCGACCACGCCGCCCTCTTTGGTCGCGCTGCACCCGTCAAAGTACAAAAGCTTGAGCTCACGCGTGGTGGAGAATGTGAATAGTGTGCCATTCTCCCCGACTGAGAACCAGATGGAGTGCTCCGGGTCGACGGATGTCCAATCCATGGTGGGGTAGTCCGCGTCCCTTCGGCCGTGATAGAGTAGCGTGCCGGGCGGTATGCTGGCACGAACGATGGTGTGACCTGGGCAGTATTTAACGAATTCTGACCAGCCCGTGAGAGACATACAACGCACCGTTCGGATACCACGCGTTGGGCATCATTTGCATGAGAGATGCAAGCGACTGGAAGATGAGATTACCAGTCGCATCTTTATCGATCGGTTCGTCCCAGGAATGCGAAGTGATTATGCCGGATGGAGCATCAAGTGGAAGTTGGGGTGCTGGCTGTGCCGAATTGAACGTTGCGGAAACCGCGTGAGCGGCGAGGAGCAGATGCCACGCAACCATATCCCGCATGCAAAAAAATCACTATTGACTCCAAGTCAAGGGGGATGTGCTACTGATATGTATGCGCACACTGTCGGTGAGTGTCGTACGCCGCTGGGATGAGAAAAGGCTAGCTATGCGTCTGAGATCAGTTAAACTTGAGACTTTCACGTCGGGACGTATGTTTCCACTGCTACGACAGAAGAGCAGAATAGCGCAAAGTCAATCTCAACCTGTGCGTGGTACAGGTCACCTTGTACGATTGCTGGCAACTTGAAGTGCGCTACGCATCAAAGATAGGTAACAAGCGCGTAAGTCACGCGTACAGGCGCCCATTGTGTGCTACGCTTTTCTATCTGGCTTCACCGTCGCGCGAACATGCTTACACAACACGGCTGTATTGCGGCAGCTACCCATTTTCAGTGAGGTCCTGCATGTGCATGTCTTCTTTCTCGTGTATACGATACTCATATATTATTTTTCTCATATATTTTACTTATGATAATCTGTCGTTCAAAGGGATGACATGCAAGCAGCAGCATTGCATTGAAATGAAATTCACTGAGACACACATATGTCTAGTTAACACGAACCACATTGCACATGCTCACCATTGCACGCAAACTTCTCACCCGGCATGACCTTCGCATTTGGCAGCGTCAAAGTCAGTTTGCTGCATGTCCGTCAGACAAATAAGCTTCGTGCTTTATTATCATTGGAGATGGCGAGTTATTCCTAGAGGCGAGGAGCGTGGTACAGTCAATGCAAGCATATCATTCAGGATCGAAGTGGTTTGTATGAAGCGAAGTAGAGACACTACCGTAGCCGCTCCATGCTGGCCTCAAAGCAATACAGTGCTGAAGGTGCGGGAACTGGACATTGAGCCCACTAGTGTATGCATGGCTGGCGCCATCCAGGGAAGGTGTTCACGTACTCCATCAAGAGTGGAACACGGTTATCGTTACAGATAATCTCGCGTACAGTCCAAATGCCATGTTCACCATCGCAGAGGGATATATCGTTTTCCTTTCTTGACGGCCAATATATACTCATTTGAGACTCGCTGAACAAAACGCAAATCCCCAGATCAGCTCCCCTGTGGGGATCGCTTGGCGGGATCCATCGAAATGCATTGAGGAGAGCGATCTTTTTCGTCACTGCCCCAGCCAGGAAATGGTACGTGCTGTGGGACGAAGCAATACTCCTACAGGCATGCATGTCAATGTCAAGATGAAGGAGAAGGTATCCGATGCTTACGTCTAAACTGCATGCTGGGTTGCAGCCCAACCACACCGGCCAATCCAGCCACTCAATCAGCGCATCAATATCGTCTCTGCACTTCACGAGGAAATCTTCCGCAGTCTTCACATCTTGCTCCTCAATGTCGAAGGCTGCTCGCCATGCTACCGTCAGCACCCTGCAGATTTCATGCAGCACCTCGTCCACAGCGTCCTTGATGACACGTTCCTGTTTCGTGAACCACGACTCAGGAAGATGTGACGTAAAGCTCGCCGCACAGCCGCGCACAGTCTCTGCGTACCACTCTGGTTCGCCGATGCCAGTGCGTGGCATGTATGGAATGAGAGAGACGATGAATTGCTGGCGTACGTCTGCAGCTTGCTCGGATGCATTGGTTATCGGCTGGTGGAGCAGGTAGCGCAGGTATGGGAGCCGATCAGAGAACCTGTCCTGGATGACCTGTGCGAGGCCCTGCCAGTCTACTCCACTGCCTGATCTGAAACCTCGCCGAAGTACATCGTTGATGTCCGCTTGTACAGCCGCGATATCCGCTTCCGAGATGTTCAACAGACGATAATCTTCCCTCTTGAGAGGTCGACGAGCCTCAGCAAGTGATGTCAGTGCCGGGTCAAAGAAGGTGATCATGCTTGATGGGTCGACGCGCACGCGCACGTCACCGGGAAAAACGTTATGCCAGGTGCCTGCATGCCAGGCCTCCCACCCAGTGGAGCCTGGCGCGCTCCCTTTCCAGCCTTTGGGAGGGATTGAGTCAATCCAGGGGCGGCCAAGAGCAACTGATGAGTCTTCCAGATGTTCGGTATTGAAATATTGCATCGTGGTACTGGAGTTGTGATCCGGCGGATTTATGGATACAAGACCGCCGATGATCATGTTCACCGCGGAGACGAGCTCCAAGCCTTCCGTAAAGTCACAGTAGATTATTTCACTGAACTTATCAGCTCGATGTCAATCCAAGAAGACACGATATCGCTGGAGAAGATACGCACAAATCAAGTTCCATTCTGACGAACCCATCAATGTCATACTGCTCCCCCCACGCGCACGCATCCGCGATTCGCTGCCACTCGCTCACCATCCCTCCCCACTCCTCTTCATGTGGTACTTCTCCATAGATGGCCACATCCTGTGCGTCGACGACGCCGCCCTTCTTGTTCGCGCTGCACCCGTCAAAGTACAGAAGATTGAGCTCACGCGTGGTGGAGAACGTAAACAGCGTGCCATTCTCCCCGGCTGCGAATATGAGGGAGTGCTCCGGGTCTATGGCTGCCCAGTCCATGTTCGGATACTCAGCATTTGGTCGGCCGTGGTAGAGCAGTGTGCCTGGCGGGATGTTCGCGCGGACGATCGAGTGTCCTGAGCGGTATTCATACGAATCCTCACGAATCCGTCAAAGATATGCAACGCACCGTTCGGATACCATGCGTTGGGCATCATCTGCATGAGAGATGCGAGTGACTGGAAGATGAGATTCCCAGTCGCATCACGATTTGCCGGCTCATCCCAGGAACTCAAAGTGGAACCAAGTGAGAGCTGGGACGAAATATGTGCAGGAGTGTATGCTGCATATATGTTTTGCACAGCGAGAGCTAGAATCCAAGATGATGCACACCAGCCCATCGAAACGTCGGAAAGCAACAGAAATCGAGCTGTACCGCTGCTGCAAATGCTATCAGTGAGCGTCTGTGTCGCCTGTCCGACATGAGAACCACTCTGGCGTCAAATTATCAGCGTCCTGCGAGCATCGCAGTTATGATGAGGAAGAGGGAAGGCGAGCTGCCCTCCTGAAACCTGAATGAACCGTACTGCGTGCAATTAGGAATGTACTTCTCAACAGGCGCTAAACCGCGCACTTAGTGTGCGTCAGACGCTGGTCACACACTCAACCTTTCCGCCTCCTAAGTGCCTTTGCAATTGATGCATCTGCTGCACAAACGTTCCAATCAGTGAGAAGAAAGTTGCACTCCCCCCCCCCCCGGATCAATGCAATGTGCCGCCTTCAAGTACTCGCTTCGCATGCTCGTCTCTCTACCTGCATTAGGCAAAGGGTTGAGCCGCACTGCACGCGCAAATCTTGTCAGTCTTCACAGACCATGCAACAGGCACATCTTCTTTCAAGGTAACATATAGATACAATGAAGTTATCAATAATCTCATGAAATTTGAAGTAGAAAACACCTTGGAACAGCAAAGGTAGTAGCATTAAAACAATACACAAATTAGAAATGTGGGATGAATTTCATCCAAGAGACGGCTTGATAGGCACCGGCAGGAAGAGAAGCCAAGGAGCAAAGAGCGAGGACAAGTAAGCTACCTCGTGCTGAAATGTACAGCAGGCATAAACAGTGTTGAGCTATCGTCATACTAGTAGGCAAATACGGAGTGACAAGTTCAAGAGGAATTACGAAGAAGGGCGCACCGATGACTACGATGGAGCTTCCTCGCCATATCCATTTAGCCGCAGCGTCCGGAAACTGTGCGTTCCACACCGCGCAATGCATGATGCCAAATAGTATGGAGATTGCAGCGATTGCGTAGATCGCGTCGGATTCTTCGTTGTCCTTCGTATCGATTCCGGCATTGACCAGCCATCCTCCTTTGAAGTTGTCCGTGTCATCTCCCGTCAGATACCCAATTGCACGCAGAACACATCCCAATGGAGTGAAGCACAGAATGAGGACGACACGCAGAGTCCTCGTCAATCTGGAGCGTGGTTTCGGGATCAAATTTTCCACGCATTCTCGGACAGGCTTCAAGAAGTCTATCGAAGCCTTCCAGATCATGATCACGCTGTCAGTGCCAACATCATTGGATGAAGAACTGTCTTCTGTGAAAAATTGTATCTGTCAGCATGGGCACAAGATAAGACAACCGTAAGATGCGTACCTCTATCGGCTCCATGCCGCACTGTATTGCTGCATCTATCATTGGTGACGTAGGCCCGGCGCGCGAGCGTTTGGCCATTATCTGACAGACAAACATACGTCGAATCGACCTCGTCGGAAGGTCCGTCCTCTCCATCTCTGCTGACTATGACGTCGTTCGATCCATCTGCTTCCGATCCTAGTATCTTTCGGCCTGTATTCGGGCACTTGCTATGCAGAATGACGGGGCTTGCAATAGTGTACGGCTTGTAGAACCAGGAGAAGTACATCGCAGCGGTCATGATAGTGAATGCCGCTGTGAAGACTTCCATTTGTGTAATGTATAAACCCTGGAGGTACCGGGAGATGACCTGCATAACGAACCAGGTGACCTGCAGAAGTACAACGCACTTCGATAGCACGTCTACTTTGCTCTTATCCTCAATCTCGTCCTTGGAGATGTTTGGAAACTCCACTTCTTCGTTAGATACAAGCTCATGGAATTTCTCAGGATCGAGGCGAGTGAGAGATTTGGTCGAGTCTTTGCATTGTTGGGCAAAGCCACCCATCAGAAGGAAAAACCCATGAGTACGGGTCCAACCATGGTCTGCGAAGAGGTGATAAATGCTGATATCTTTAATGGATTGATGTCAGATGCTTACCTTTGTACTTGTCAGCTATCTGGCCCGCCGCTTTCATTTGACGCAGCGCTTGCAAGACATACAACTCGGGTATAATGAGAGCAGCGAGCATGAATCCAACTCGTCGAAGTCCCGCCCTCCAAGAAGCTCCCACAGGGTACATGATGTCCGGGTGGATTGCAGACCATACGCAGGCAATGACCGTAGTCAGGCAGCTATAGATGATGTCGTACGTCGTCCGACAATCGGTGATGCTTTGGCAGGACGGTGACGTGTTTGCGATCAAAGTCGGCCTGGAGATGGGCGCAGCGGTGACGCCTTGTCGTGCCATGTTAATGGCTAGAAGTATGATAATCATGGCGGGGAAAGATATGTTGCTATGGTGGAGTGAAAGGAGATTGCAAGGTCGGGTCCGAGGTATGAGGTTCCGACTCGGTTCACCGTCTCCTTCATATACACTCATCTTCGATCTATTTCCTCCGATCTATTCAGACGCTTGGACTCTGCTGCAGTCACAGAGCGGGACGAACAGAGGTCCGAGGACCTGCAGTGCTCAACTCGTCCCTTCGAATAGGTCGGGAGTCGGGGCTACTTTGCATAGGATGTCTCATTACGATTCGTAGCCATCGGTTCCGATCACATCCCGATCGGAGCTGCCAGCAGAAGAGTGAAGTAGTGCTTATCATCATCAGCAGCAGCATCACGAAAGAGATCTGGTCATGGCTGTGCGCGTCGAGGCACGGTTGATACCGCCAAGAAGGGTATGGTCGTCTGGACCGGAGTCATGGAGCAGTGGTTTAAGGTTTACGGCTGACATACAACGCCGATCATTCTGGCAACGAAAACAAGATAGTCAACGCAACGATGAGCCCATCTTCAAAGCAGTATGATGAATTACTTCAATTGCATCGAATCCGAAGCCCTTCAAGATATCATTGCAGCCTGAAGCTAACCACCGTGAGATGTCAGGCGTCCATGTGGAGATCATCTCCCTCAGCAGCCGTTGGGACCTAGAGCGGACCGATCAATTTACTGATATCGCAAATCCGCGAGCACAGGAATGGACGATTTCCATACCCTGCATAGTAGTCGTCGTGTCCACCGCTCTATGAATATGCCATTCAAATTGCCCATAGAAAGAACGATTAGTCTCGGTTTTGATTCTCGTGATGGATCGCGTCCACAATAGAGTACGGTGGTCCTAATCTTCAAGGAATATCCTTTATAAACACCCCAACAAACGGTAGCCTAAGCTAAGGTCAGAAGTAAGCGCCGAGTCGTACCCCAAACCACACGGACTGATGAAAAGCTGGAGAAGCTATGACAGCAGCACCCGCAGGTATTGCCCCCGGGTCATTCACCACTGAAGCGCACCACATTCACTTCATCAATCAGTGGTGAATGACCCGGGGGCAATACCTGCGGGTGCTGCTGTCATACATCTTCTGAGGTCTCTGATGAATGTAAGTCGAGCTCCGGTGCTGCTGATGCAGGGGTCCAATCCGATAGTCCATCCATTGGCTCTTCAACTTGGCGCGTGCGAAAGAGGATGCGGGCCGCAACGGATTCTTGAGTGGACTTCCCAAAGTTACTAGCATGCGAGACACTTCAGACAATAAATATAGCCGATAAGTGAACAAGTCGTGCCACGACTAAGTATGTACAGGTTGAGTGCCATGTTGACTGGTTCCATTGATCGATCACCGTCCGAGGATGCAAACTCGTGGCCAATGCCGCTGAGTTGCGCCAGGACGTCCCATGCTTACGTGCATGTGATGATGTGACAGACTGTCGACGTCCGTTCTCAGCGTCGCTTCCTAAAGTTCGGTGTATGCTTACGAGGAAAAGAGGATGTGGTAAGCAAGACTTGATATATGAAAATTGT